AAGAGGCTCTGAATAAATACCACTGGGAAGCTACAATGTGCTGTAGAACATATGCTGAGTGTCTGTTTTGATTCCAGCTGAAAACCCAACTCACTGAGACGCTGTCCAAGCTGGAGACGGAAGAGAACGAGAGGCAAAAGGTGGCTGGTGACCTTTATAAGGTAAGAACAGTCATTTCGATTTTACACGGCTTATACGAGTTGTTGTTTGTTAATTTTTTAATTGTTATATTTTTATCCAGGCCCAGCAGTCTCTTGATCTGATCCAGGGGGAGCTATCAAAAGTGACAGACCACGCTGATGACCTGATAGAGAATAGCAGTCTGACGTCACAGACAGTAAGAGTCTGGTGGTGTATGTCAGGGGTTTTCAAAGTCTGAGACTGTGCGTTTTGCTCAATTCCTGGATGCCTGTGGGATCATGATTATGTTATTTGAACCCACAGACATTCAACAATTGAGTAAAGATAACCTAATTTCGCTGTTTGACATAACTTCAGACTATACCAAATACATTAAAAATTGTAAATTAACACTTGAACACACAGTACATCAGAGTGATAACTACCAAAAATGACAGAAACCATCAAAATTATTTGACATGTCTTTGATTTTACATGGAGGGGGTTGTTGAGATGTTTTGGTTTTACTTTTGGGTAATTGTCAAGTCGCCCATCTTTATATATAGTCTATGCTCTAAATCAGCTATTCTGTGTCTGACAGGAAGAGATTGACAGAAAGGAGAAAATGACAGCAGGACTGAACCAAACAGTCAGAGAACTGCAGCAGCTGCTACAAGCAGTCAGCCAGCAACTCGCCAAGCGACAGGAAGGGGTAAGGCCTGTTACTGCACTGTTCTTACCATCCAATAAAACATTACAGGATCACAGTCCTGTCTTTTCACTTGCAACAGTGTGTTTGAATGTGGAGTATGAACATTCTACATTTGTGATTTCCTGCAGGAGACTGACAAAGATCTGCCCATGGTTTAGTTAGAGGAGGAGAGACTCCAAGCAGTCATCCTGACTGCACTACAGAGACCACCTTTGACCTTCGGTCTCCTCATTACCAACATCACACCATACTATCACACCCAGCCACCCCCTTTCCTCAACCTCCGTCACCTCACCTGTACTGTAGGAAGCCTCCAAATGACTCTGGCCGAGGCATTGACAAACCATTCCCGGTCTCACTGTTGGCCGTAATGGAGCAGGAAGAGGTTACTGTTAATTCCAAACACTCCAGACACTGTACCAAAACACACTACTCCACTCCCACCACATTCCTCTTCTTTAGCAGCATCAACAATTAATTTTTAATCTAAACTTAAAAATGACATCCAGCATAATTTAAACTGTGTGGCAACCATTCCTCTGTTTAAAACACCTGTATTTTTCAATGAAATCCTTTTGAAGACTGCAGTAGCTGTTAATTTGTCAAGAGAGGGCAGTGATACAAATTTCCAACTTGACAAAACTATGGGTTTTCAGTCCTTTTTTTTTCTTAACTTAAAGACATGTATTGTTTAAATGTACCAGTTAGGACCTGCTGAAATACACTGTTGTTGATCTGTTTGCCTCCTGTCCAGAAACCTATCACAAACTGTGCATCGTGTGTTCATGAATTCATAGCTCCATGCATACCTTGGCTAGAAAACGGGTTGGAGAAGGGAAATCAGGAGGGGTCTCAGCATATCAGAAGTGTCACTACGTGACTAACTATGGAGATGCATGGACAAATTGTAGTCAAGTCTTTACTGCAGCTCCAGAAAGAAGGGGAGTCTGTGACCCTGGCTGTGGAAAGAGAAGGCCAGGTCAACAGTGTTAGGTTTTTAATCCTACTGCAACTATTCTAGGAATAAGCGTCCCATATCATCTGTAATCAACACTTGCTATATTGTTGCTAAGTTCATTAACACTGAAGATTTTGTTCTTTTTGTAACAGGTGATGTTAATAAAAGGGATGCTTGATAAATCTGTCCAGCGTCCTGTTTGGCTTCTTTTTCTTCCACTGCACTTCTTTCTCCATACCACTGTGGGGCAGCACACAACCTTAGTTACAATTTCAAATTGATTTGACTCATATCCTTGAAAAATCTGAATGTGCACAGGGAAATGACACAGCTTCTGCCTCATGAAGGTTATCCGGCCATCTGACTTCCCTGTACACAATAAACATGTTTTTCATGCAGCGGTGTTATTTTAGGCAAGTGTTTTGAGTGACAGTAGAGAAGCTGACACTATGTAGCTTCAATTATGGGACCTTTGGGGTGTGACCAGTTTCCTGTGATGCTGTATAATCCCTCAGAACAGGAGCGCGTTTGTTTTCTCAGCTCCTGCATTACAAAATATTTCCCATCAGTAAGAAGATGTGAAAGGAAGTCGGAATACAATAAAATAATCAAAAGCTTACAGAGGACGATATCTGACTGTAATGTTGACTGTGGTCACTTGTTGATGCTGTGAGTGGCTGCATTTGAATTCATTTTTAATCTTTTGATTTGTTTTATTGAAAGAGGTTCTGTGTGACTGGACTTGACTTGCACAGAAAGCTCTTGCACTCATCTTTTGCATGTTAAAAGGCCTTCAAAACAACAGGTCTGTTGTGCTAGCTAGGGGCGCGAGCAACATGGGATCAGCACATTCCTTGCATTCTTCCACACTGTCATGCTGCAGTCAGCTGATTGGACATATGGCTTTTACCTTCATGGAAACCTTGCAACAAAACAGGCGCCACTGTATCCTCAACATACTCATCATTAACTGGATAACACAGGGTGCGCCTTTCTCAGCTTGCTGCTGTTGTGTCATATGTAGTCAGTCCTCTACTGCATAGCTCATTCCTAATTAAACAGTCATGGGTTTAAATGTCTTGATTCCTCTGATTAATAAAATAAAGAAGTGCAGATTTTCTACAGTTCTGTCACTTTTAACCCATATCAAGTGTCTCTTAAGTTCTTTGGAAAGCCTGGCATGTCATCATATGTGGGTGAATGACAAAAGATTTAAAATTGGGGGAGGAACCAGTGATAAATCTGCCTGAGGTTATACTTAGTCAGACATTTACAGGTAGTCTCATGACTCCTATAGAAAGTGACGTGTAAAGCCTGACAGAAAGAATTGAGGAAGTAAATGGGGGCTATGCCTTTCTTATGTCATCATTGCTCACATTGTTAGTCAACTGTGCAATTGTGCTTGTTCCAGTAGGTCTCTGCTCTGCATGCTTCTTGCCTGGAAACATTTGACTCCTCCTAAACATAGATTTACACTCACACTATGCCAGCGCAACATCAGCAAAGCAGTCCCTGCATCTGCTCTCCATCAGTGTGGTATGTGCTAGAGAGCTTTTGATCCACCCCCCGCCCCCTTACTCTACTGTGTGTGCATGTGGGAGGGTGAGGCAGACAGACAGAGAAAAGACTGTAGTGCCCTTTTACACAGACAATGCCCAGTGGATGAAAGCAAGCGGAAAGAGACAGTGGCACAAAAGAGCTGTAAACATTCATTATACGTGCAGCTTTAAGGCCAGCCCCTAGGCCTGTAGTTAAAGGACTACTGTAGCTTGATCCTTGTGCATAACAGCTGAAGAAGCTGAAGTTTACTCCTCAGTACTAACAAGTCTGTGCACAGTATGAACAGAACCAACAAATGCCATGGATTAATCTGAGTTGTATTGCTTTTGGAAATGGAATAAGACATCAACATCTTACTGTGCCGCAGAGTTTAAGGGGAGGAAAGTACCTTTAAGAGCCCCAGTGACCCCCTGCTACCTTTTGTTTTTGTGTCAAGTGTTATTGCACTTTGAAACTGAACACCAGTTCAAACAGAAGGCCATAATTGCAGAGGCAATAGGACCACTGAAGGGGGGCAGAAGCAATAAAGGCACCTCCAGCCATACCGATTCTTGTGAAAACAAGACAGAGGCAGTAAAATGAGTTGATGAGACTGCCAGACAAAAGTGGAGAAGTGGTACATTCACAAGAAAGGCATGAGAACAACTAGACTTGTGGGATATTGGAGGTTGAGAAGTCCTTGACATCCTCACATTCGGTGTGGACATTTGGTTACATTAGTGAGACATTAGTAATGAGTCATTCTCAGAAGTCAAATTACTAGGCGTTGGTGGTATTATTATTAGACTGACTTGCATCTCCTTGCGTAGAGCCAGGTGACTAATAAGATATTATAGAAAGAAATAAGAATATACCTGTAAGTCTGCAACCAATGAAAAGAGGTCTGAAAATAGGACTCAAGACAACAAAATGAAATGATCAGGGGGATGTGAAAATGAAACTTCCAGGCATGCAGATAAATAGTGATGTCATTAGGTTACATAATTAATCACAAGCATTAGCCAACCACAATAAATTATTTCAAATAAAGTTCTGGAAAGGGCCCAAAGGGTCACCAATAAAATAAGCTAATCTGATTTCGCCATCCTTTCAATCTCTTCATGTTATCGCAGGCAGGAAATGTACCAGGATGATTATTTTCACTGCCCCACCTTCTGTGGGCTCACATAGGCTTGTGTAACTTCATACAAAAGTCATATCTAATAACATCATCTGATCCTTGATACATATGTACTGAATTAAGTCCTATGATGCCAATACTCACAACAAGGCATATTGACGAAAAGTGTGTAAACCCTTGTTCCCGTTATTTATGGGAAACGGGAAACTTTGCAAACATATCAGGAAAAGTATGATCTCTTTAAGAATTCCCAGATTGTACTCTTTGTTTACATAACACCGGGAGCGACCCATGGACCATGCCAGGTGGAACATGTAAAGACTTTTATTCAATCGTACAATAGCAATGTTTATCCAAGAATACATTAAATGCAAAATACTATCACTTATTGTAATTAATACTTTTGATAGCTATATACAGCACACATTGGTCCAAAACGCTAGTGTAAACACATATTTGGTCTGGTCCACCCCCCTACACAAAGTAAAGAACAAGGTAATGGTACGTCCCGGCCCTGCTCTTCGCTGTTTTTGTATCAGCTTCAGAGCGGATTGAACCGCCAAGTAAGTTACGTTTTGCAATGTCACACTAAAGAAGTTTTAGACCAGTTTATTTATAGAAAACTGGATTGGTGAGGGCACAGAGACATATGCCGCAGGATATAAGATCTGAAATGAAAGACTGTCGTGTTTTTTGAAGGGGATACCGGGTGATTTTTGAGCCGCTGGTATTATTACTGTAAAGCTAATGTTGCACAGCGAAGCCAGAAGCCTCATGTTTTCGTCAAGCCAAGAGGAGCACTGCGCCCCGTCCAAAGACCCAGTGAAATACGGGGAACTCGTGGTGCTGGGGTAAGTTTAAGCCTTGTTGGTGTATATTTTGGGACAACTGTACTCGATGGAGTCCCCTGAGTTAACGCGAAAGCGAGTAACGTTATTTATCTAGAGGAAGTTTCACAAGAGGGTGCTCACGGAGCTAACTTAGCGACGTGACTGTTAAGTTTTGAAAACGAGACGTGGACTTTAGTAATTGAGTTTTTGTTTTAGGCAAACGTCGACTTTTACACAGAGAAGTTAACTATACATGTATTCAGGAAAAACCAAACAAGCCTTGTTGAAATTCACTCTCACGTTACTCCACTAATCAGACACGTGCGCAATCAGAAATGTGTACGTTTTAGTTTTGCCAAGTTGGTGACGATGTTTCGCTCCCTAACAACGGGGACAGGCGCAACAGTCTTGCTACATTTGAACAAACCGGAGTCCGACAAATGGATAAGTTCAAGGCAGCTTTAGAAACCTGAGTAAAATGAATCTCATACTCAGCAAACACTGACCAGGCAGCTCATTCCTACCTTAAAGATGGGTTCATGAGGTTACAGGAATTCGGAAGCGGTGATGCGGTGATGGTCCCCCCCAGTCCCCAGGGTTCTTCCTATTTTCAATACTATCTATTGCTCAAACCGCACAACTTTAGATCTGCAAGGAAAATTATTTCTTTATCCGCACATGCATTACAAGGCCATGGGCTGTATTATTATAAGATTCATGAATTGGTCTACATATTATTGTTGCATTAAATAGTTTGGAAGCACACACCTTGCTCATCTCAATACACGCAGTTGATTTCTTTACATTCTCTTATGTCTGCATGGTCAGGTAGGGGCCCGAACTGTCCCACTAAAGACCAATATCAAAAATGGAAATGATGAAAAATGCCTGTTACAATTTCCTGAAGGCTAGAAGGACATCTTCAAGTAGCTTTATTTTGCCCGACCATCAGTCCACAATCCAAAGAAAGCAATTTAAAGACATTATGCACGTGTGAGTATGTATGTATGTATGTATGTACATATATAAAAAGATGGAACCAATGATTAGCATTTTTAATAGAAAAAACATATGTAAACCATTGATCACAGTGATTATCAAAAAAGATTAATTTTCTGTCAATCGACTAATCAATTAATCTATTGTTTGTTTCAGATCTACTATCAAGTACTTAAAGTTGACAACAAATGCCTAGTTAGATCTTGTGTTGTTGTTGTTGTTGTTATTATCAGATGAGATCAAACTGTTGCCCATTCTGTCACATACTGTAGAATTCTGTACATATTTTTACATAGGAAAGTTCTTACATTGAGTTTAGACAGCATATAACATACTTGGGCATCTTTTGTTAAATAAAATTTAAAAAGGCTTTTGTAGAAACAACAACCCATTTATTCTTCTCAATAAGGTTTTGGTAGTTTTGGCTCTGATACTGAAACTATCATTAGTATTGCACAATTTCAAACAATACCTGGCCCTAATCTGTTGATGTAAAAAACAAAACAAACACAAGGCAGTGGCATAAGTACACGTGTCTCATCCTGCCACTGAGTAAAAACTGGCGTGGCTTTTTCTTTGTTTATGTCAGAGCTATTTCAAAACCACTACTGTGGGTTTATTTTTCAGGAGAAACTGCAGTCAGTTATCATTCTTATGTTTATATTTTTAAACTGTCTCGGGCAGCAGCTGCCACAGATGATGGAAAACACCTGCTGTGTCATCAGCGCTTGGGAGTTTGGCCAATACTGCAACTCACATGAAAGTTATTAAAACACAAAATGCGCTTTGGGAATTACATGTACACAGCATTTGTTTGAAGCACTTAAACTGAGATGCTTTATAAAGGTTATACCCAGAGCATGCTAGAGTGTGGTTTTGTCCTTTGCCCATCCCCATACACTCACAGCCATACTGCTTATTTTAAGGGACAGAAACTGCTGACTGCTTATTACCCCAGGCTGAACATGTGGTATGCTTGAAGCTGATACGTTTGTTCTCTCTCCTGACATGAAGACACATATTTGAATCAGATGTGACGGGCGTATAATCACTGCCATGACATCACATCCCATTGATAAAACTGATGGTAGACAAGATAGCTGACAGCATGGAACAAAGCTTGTTTGAGCAGCAGTTCCCTCAGTGGTTTGTTGCCATGACCGTTGTGGCTCTTATTACTTGCATGGCTGCCCCCCCATCGCTGCCTGGGCGGATTGGCTTGGTGCTGGCCAGTGAGGAGGGAGGGCAGCTGAGTGGGTATCCTGGAAATGAAAGGATGGATTGATCAGGGCCCAGCCTTTGCCTCTCCTCAGCTTCCTCTGTCCATTGTGGCTGAGAGACAGGGCCTATTGATTGAACTTTGTACATTTCTCCCTAAAGAACCACTCTGTAAAGGAAGTGTACAAATCAACTTGGGGACATGTTTGGTACAAACTGGCACTGTTTGTCACCCATTTATCCAAGGAGGAGGAGAGTTATCCTTTTTGCATTCCTATCCTCCATAACACAGTCAGTGTAGGTGGAGTATGTGTGATGTCAGTGTCTTGTGCAAGATTATGTCAGTCAGATACTTGGAGCCATGGCTGCTTGAATCTGAGTCACTTGACTGATGGCTGCCTGCCATGTCGTGGTGATGTTATGTTGATGTATTTGTACAAAATAGATTGTCCTATTAGAAGCACTAATAGCCTGCAATCTTACTTTGCAGCATCATCTATCTTCTGTGACCCTTTAAGGCTCCCATGCCTCTGTGTCATGCTAATGAGGGTTATAACAACTCAGCATATCTCCTCCTCATTTTGCGAACACTAGCCTTTCATGTTAGCCTAAGAGGTAGGAGGTGCTGTTGGCTCCTTAGTGCAACCCTGGAGGATGGGTGATGCGCCAGAGTCTTCTAATCCCTGCTCCCAAAGTATTGGAAGGTAAATCCGCTGTCTGTCAGGCACAGGTCAAAACGTAAAGCGTTCACAATTAGTTGGAGCGTCTCTTTAAAGAGCCTGTCCTAGCTAATGTGATGGTGGCGCTTCCTAGCTGACAGAATATTGTTCCTCTGTGTAATGATGAATAATAGAAGGCATGTGTGGCATTTCTCAGAGAGCCAGGGTTATATTCTGCAGTTTGAATCCATCACGGCAAAAATGCTAAGCTGCGTATCCTATTGTGTCTTGAATGTGAGACATACAGATACAGGTATCCAGCAAATAGGCCCCCCTAACTAAATAGAAATCTGAACAATATATAGGCCTAGCTGCTCTTTATTTAGGTAGGGAGTTTCTAGGACAGGTCTGATGAAACTGGAGTATAGAGTCGGCACTCAGTTGGCTTCAAAAGTGTGTTTATTAATGAGATAATAATCAGTATTTTTGTCCCTTATGGATCTTCTTAGGATGAAGACCACACAGGATCAATATTTCTATAGTCTCTGATTAGTAAACATACCGTAGGAGCAAATTTACCAATTTTTTTTTTCTTTGATTTTGATGTTCTTTCTGTCTCATGCCTTGTAGCCAAGAGTGGGTGTCTTTTTAAAGCAACATGTAAAATAAAGCATTAGAAAATAAAAGCTGAAGAGTTTTTGCCATAGTGCACAGTGTAAACATTTTAAAACACTCATACAATTAAATGTCCACCATGATTTAGTCATTTTCCTCCTGCTATCACTGTATTAGTTGTAGTTTTGTCCACAGTATCATCCAGTGCCTCTGTAGCTCTCTGTGGGTGGCTTGTCCTACAGGCCAGCTTTGTGCACTGTGCTGACTGGGACCATGTGTTTCCATGCCTGGCCAGCCGTGTGGAGACATGGGACAGGTGGAACAGCTTTGGAGGGAGAACCAGAAAGAGGCTCTTGTTGCTACTGTTGCGTGTGTGTTGCACCAAAGAGGAGAGATGTCAGATTATGTAGCGGTTGGTTGGAGTTCATTTCCTCATGATACGCATTGTTATGCAAACTTTAAGAGAGATATTTCCGTTTGTGCAAAGTGCCTGTTCAGCACACCGTGGCTACATGCAAGTGTGTGACAGAAGGTCTGTGTGTTGGATGGGAGTAGAGCATGGGGTGTCCCAGCTGTAGGAACCAGCTGGTGGATGGGGGGAGGACCAGTCCTAGCGGAAGGGGCTTCTTCATTCTCAAGGAGCTGTCTAGGCTAGGTGCCTCACAGCAGACTGAAGGGGAAAAACTGGAATCTGGTATTGAAAAGTGAAAACAGACAATATGCGTAGATGCTGTTCCGGCCTTACCGATCTGTATTAGTTTGTAAAATTCAGCAATGAGAGAACGAGGTTCAGTTGTGTGAGCTAGTTCTCCACCCAGACTGTTTGTTCCCAGAGTGATAGCAAACCTGACATGCATCTTAAAACTTGCTCCTGCCTGGGACATGGAGCAAAACAACAGCTGCAGTTTACACAGAGTTGGCTCACTGAAATCACAAGTACCAGAGTGCATTATGTAATAAGAGACATTATCCAAGGTAACGCTTAGATTGCTAATAGGGTACATTAGATTGCCAGTGATGTAATGCATGGCAAAGCTCCTTTCCAAAATGCATGGATGTTTCTAATTCCTGTGTTTACTTGTTATGTGATTACCAGAATTTTTGTCTGTAAATCTCATCAGACATGTCTTTTTGCAGTCTCTTCATAAGAAATGTAATGTGTGAATTTGCTGCCCCCCCCTTGTGACAGGTACAATGGATCTCTGCCCAATGGAGATCGGGGTAGACGGAAAAGCAGATTTGCGCTATACAGGAGGACCAAAGCCAATGGTGTTAAGCCAAGCACTGTGCACATCCTCAACACACCCCAGGCCAGCAAGGTACAGAACGGATCAGAGGATGAATAAGTGATTCATTGAACTGACTCAGTGAGAATGAACAAATGTCTGCTTGTCTTTTGATGTATATTGTATACAAAAAAAAACGTATGTAAGCCTGCACTTGTATAACTGTGACAGAGCAGGATGAGTAATTTTGTCAATATATAAGGCATATTTCGACTTCATATTGTAATTGAACTCCGCAGATTAAAGTCAGAGGAGCAACAAACCAGAGCAGCAGAATGATTTGTCAGTGATTTCAGTAGCTTATGGAACTTTGAGTAACCTTCTTTACATTATTGTTGGCAGACGTTAATGTTGACATTTCCAGCACAATAAGTGTAGTTTCCGGCCGGGCCTCATAGCATTTACCTGCGCAGTGCCTGCCAGAAACTGCCCTGTCGAGTATAACATGTCTGCGTGCATTCTTAAGCAAAAACTGCTAAACAAGCTAGAGGACCTGCTTACCTCTGCAACTCTCAGAGGCCAATATTCCAGACATTTGTTGGGCCCTCTGCTTCAGGTTACACTCACCTTGTGGAACTTGACTCTTGATATCTGAGATTAGAGCTTTTTCTGTGACCGGGGCCTTTTCATTGCACAGATTGTGCATCATTCCATTCGAGTTTGAGCTGAATGTTGTGCTGCAATGGTCTATGAAATATGGCTAAATGTTTCTGCTGCTCCACACTGCAAGCTATTTCTCAGACTGCACAGCTCAACTGAGCAAAGAGTGGCATTTGCACATTTAGTCACGGACTGTTTCAGAGATGGAAACTGCTGTGAGCTTCTTCCCCTTTCAACGCTCTTCCTCTCTGCCACCCTGGTACCACGCCTGGCATTACGTGTGTGGGGTGAACTGAGGAGGAAACTGTTGCAGTTGCCTGACCCCGCGCTCCTGGCTATACGCAAGGTCAAAAATAGCCATTTCTTCGAGGAACAGTGTGGTGAGCTTGATTTGAGAAGAGCCTTCTTTGAGTGAGCCAAGCTGCCCACCCCTTTTTTTTCTATTAATGTCTTTTCTACAGCAGTCCCCCTCAACCTACTCGAGCTCCCTCACAGTGTAGCAGTCTCGTACGAATGAACTGAGAATGCTTTGTGGCTCAGAGGCTGTGAGGGAAAGCTCACGTGTCTGTGCACACTCTTGTGCTCATGACAGATAATGAGAAGCTCCCATGATGCCACTGCCAGCCTTATATTCAAATCCTGCCCGCTGATCTCAATTACCGCATTTGTACATGTGTGATTGTTTGCATTCGTCCTCCTTTTGGGGTTGCATGGCCCATGGCTGTGTTTTTGAGGGGGGTAGGGTGTTGTGCTTATAAAAATATACAGGTTTCTGTTTGGAGTGTGTATAAACTTGTTTTAGCTGTTGAACAGGTGGAGCACCATTTGTTTGTAGCGGCGCAGTCGAGACAAGACTGCATGTGATGATGACATTTGTCCCCGTCTGTCTCTGAGGTTACAGCAGAGTATGGTAGTGCTGATGACCCACTTTCTCTCTCTCTCTTGCACGTGATGGGGTTGGGGGGGGGGGGGGGGGTGCTGTTTGGGAAATGGAATTTGCAGATTATAGCTGGATGATAGTGGCATGTGGTAAAGTGTTGATGGGAGCTGGGCCTGAGTGGCTTTATCCCGCCCTCCGTCACTATACTGACTGAGGCAGTTCAGCTGGTGGGAGAGCTTGTGTTAACTGAGGCCAGTAGTCAGTTTATGGTCACTGTCATGGGAGTGTGACTTTACACTCTCTTCTCTGTTCTTGCCACAGATCTTTGGTTTTAGGTAATATAATGAAGGAATGTTATTGCTTTAATATCTACTGTAAAAACACAGTAATAATCCATTGTGGGGGGGGGGGAAGCCAGAGATTTTTTTTCAGTTGTAAGTAACAGGGTGAAAACGAGAACAAATGCATATTTTCTTCCAACAAGCACTACAGTTGTTGTTGATTCTTTGTTGTTTTGCCCTGATCTGTAATTTAACCTCAGCTGTGATGCAAAGACTACAGAAGGCATATGGTACACTCCTTTGTTCTAGGTGTGCTTATACTTAAATTGTTGAACTGTGTATTTGTTGTGTTTTTAATATGGTATCACAGTGGATAGCATGTTTTTATTGAGTTGTTTTGTTATATTTCAGGCCGTGAACTGTAAAGGTCAACACAGTATCTCCTACACACTGTCCCGAAACCAGACGGTAGTGGTGGAGTACTGCCATGATAAAGACACAGACATGTTTCAGGTAAAAATCCATTAAATGACACCGTTACCTGTTAAGCTTGTATGTATTATATTTTTGAATAACCTGTTGAATCATCTACATTTGACTATGGTACTATATATGTGAAGAAAGGCATCAAAACCTTATTTGAGAGAGCGTAATCAGTGAATGTTTGTTTTCTTGAAATGACTGGACTGGACTGAAACTGTAGCATTAATCTGAATGTACAGTAAAGAGACGATGACCAGAGGGTTAGTTAGCATTGCAGACTCGTGCTTTACATTCAGCCCTATTGTGTCCGTTTGTCTGTGAATAACACTATATATATATAATCACAGACAACTCCGGGGAAACTATAAAAAAAAAAACATGACTTTAGGACAATTACAGATGGGGGTGGGGGGGGGAGTGAAAGAGGGAAATGCTTATTTTTACATCTGCTTGTTCAGTTTGACAAATGCTGCTTGCCGAATGAAACTTCCAAACTGTGTCGTGTCGCAGCGTCTTTACCACACACACAAACACACACACACACACACACACACAGCAACATGATCTTGTGTGCCGTCGTTCAGATGTCAACCCGCTGCAAACGGCTGAAATGCTGGAAGGCAGAATAGTTTAGTTTAAATGTCTGCGGGGAACGAAAAATAAACTTCTTTTCATCCATACCATTAGGTTGACAAGAATCCATATAATATTATAGCATGAACATGATTAATTGCTGTGTTGTTTTGTAGATTGGGCGTTCCACTGAGAGTCCCATAGACTTTGTGGTGACTGACACAATAGCCGGAGGCCAGGATGGAGAGGAGACTCCCATCACGCAGAGCACCATCTCCCGTTTTGCCTGCCGAGTTGTCTGTGAGCGAAACCCGCCCTACACTGCTCGCATCTACGCGGCTGGTTTTGATTCTTCCAAAAACATCTTCCTCGGGGTAATTACTATTCAGTATACCATGGGAGAGATACGGTATCTCTGTTTACTGTCTGAATGGAAGGTCGGATGTTAAATGTGTGTCTTTTCAAACTACGAGTTCTAACCACAAATGCAATTCCTTTTTTTGGCAGTGCTGTCTAAAAAGGGGGACTGACACATAGCACATGAGTTTGCATAAAGATCTCTGTTCTGTCTTGCCTACAGGAAAAAGCCGCAAAGTGGAAGAACCCTGACGGTCACATGGATGGACTAACAACCAATGGCGTGCTGGTAATGCACCCTAAGGGTGGCTTCACGGAAGAGTCAAAGCCTGGCGTATGGAGAGAGATCTCTGTTTGTGGGGATGTTTACACACTAAGAGAGACCCGCTCAGCACAGACCCCAGGCAAACTGGTCAGTAGCTACATACATACAGTAATCGAATCGAGTATTACGCAGATGTTTCTCAATTCACAGATAGAATATAATTACATACAAAAGCATTCTTTATTGTTTTGCTAGGAGAAACTAAATTAGTTTCTGCTACATCACCCTTTGCAGGTGGAGATTGAGAGTAATATACTTCAGGACGGCTCCCTGGTGGATCTGTGTGGAGCCACTTTGCTGTGGCGTACTGCAGAAGGCCTCTTTCACACTCCCACCCAGAAGCATCTGGAGGCTCTCAGGCAGGAGATCAACGCAGCGCGGCCCCAGTGCCCCGTAGGTCTGAACACGCTCGCCTTCCCCAGCATGCAACGTAGCCGAGCCCTCTCCTCTCTGGAGGACAAGCAGCCTTGGGTCTACTTGGCCTGTGGCCACGTGCACGGTTACCACAACTGGGGCCACCGTTCAGAGCAGGAGCCCAACACTCAGCGAGAGTGTCCCATGTGCCGGGTGGTCGGGCCTTACGTACCACTGTGGCTGGGCTGTGAGCCAGCCTTCTACGTGGACACAGGTGCGCCCACGCATGCCTTCGTGCCATGTGGACACGTGTGTTCGGAGAAGTCGGTCAAGTACTGGGCCGAGATCCCTCTGCCCCACGGCACCCACGCCTTCCACGCTGCCTGCCCTTTCTGTGCCACCGAGCTCGGCCTCACTCAGGGCTGTTCCAAGCTAATCTTCCAGGGCCCGGTGGACTGAGCTGAAGGGTCCCACTCTGGCAGAGAAGATTAGACAGGAATGCCAACATGCTGTGAAACTGTTCAGATTATTTTGTGCTGTCTTTTGTTCATGTAAGCCAGCTGTGGAAAGGAGTGTCTTCTCAAGTTCTGGTCATATACTGTGGATTCTGCACAACAGAGAGCTATTACAGATTGTTCAGGGCCTCTTGACACTGTTTGGATGGCCACTATGGGATACAGAGATGCGGAGCACACTGAACCACCGATGCCTGGCTCCTCCAGAATGAAATACTGTCTCACCTACCGCTTTAAACAAGACTCCAGCGCTGGGCTGTTTTAAACTACAATGACTGCTGGTTTTCCATTAGAGGGCCATAGAATTTAAAGTTGTAGAATTTTATTCATGAACCAGATAACAGTTGTGTAGTTGGGTCTGTTGGGAATGAAAAGGGGGGCGGGGGTTATAGTTCAATTCCTGGTGGGTCTGAGACAAAGTTTTTACAGAGCCAGACAGCTGGACTGTTGGCTGGGAGAAAAGCCAGGAGAAACTTGGGGTCTAATGGCTGACTAGTTAAGTGCTCCCTGTCTCCCTCTCTTCCCTGAACCCCTGATGGCATCTAGATCATGTAGCTGTCCGGATTTGGCTTTCATTTGCTGAACACACTTTAAGGAGGGGGGAAATACTTTTTGTGTATAGAGATATAATCCAGTGCCTCAAATCCCATTTAAACTGTGGGAATATTTTTCATAAATGAGAAAAGATATTTTGTTGAGGGCAAAGGGAGAGAGATTTTTGCATACAGAAGACATAAGGAAATGATAGCCCACACGGATTCTTCTCCACATTTTTATCTGAAGAAGTATTTTATTACACTGGGGCCCTTGTACTGTTTTGTAATGTAAATGTTAATATATTTTTCTCCTGCATAAAGTGTGTGTGTGTGTGTGTGTGTGTGCGCGCGTGCGGGCTTTGTTTAAATCACCCTGCATCATTTCACCCCAATCCCCTTTCTATGATCTCGCCCACCACCCAAAAAACGCTACCGGAGAGAACACAGGAATTAAACCAATATCGCAGGGTTTGACAATGAATGTACTGAAATACATCGAATCCTCACTGGTGGTGCTTCAATTATACAACTTTCTCAGTGGCTGTTAAAGGTATAGGTATGCCTATTTGCAGTGAAAGACAACATTGGAGCTGTACTACCAATATGCATCAACCGTACCTGCTTCCTAGCTTGCTTGCTAGCTAGCTAGCTGTGTCCCTGCCCCACACACATGTACTGTATTCAATCTGCACTGTTGTTAGCTTTATCCCATGCTGGGTCTGATCCAATGATTTATACGCTGTCAAACCTGGGCACAGTCTCAGCAGCATCTAGAGATTATACCAAATATAAGAAGGAGCTGTTTTCTCTCCACATGCAAGATGTAACGACCACTCTCTCCAATCCAAAGTGTTTCTGTAAACAATCCTAAACCCAAACTGCTGCTATGGTGGAGTGTTGACAGCTCTGGATTACAGTCGAGGCTGTTCAGTTGCTCGCAACCAGCTCCATGGGAATAATGATATTATCGCACACCATGCCAAATTTGGAAAATTCTATTGTGTGTGTGTGTGTGTGTGTGGATGAGTCAAGCTGTCCAAAACAAAGTAGCAGATGAATTGAAACTAAAGAATCTGGGACGAATCTGTACTTTCTTCTGTGATGTTAGCTTATCAGACTGTGCCCATATGTAGAGTGTAGCTGAAGGCATTAATTCTGCCACTAATTCAAATACGATATTGAGCATTAAAATAACGAGATGTTGAGGGTTAACTGTCCTATTGTAGCCTTCAAATTTACTTCCACATTGCATTAGGATGAAATACAATCCAGGGGTGTAGCTGAGGGGCAAAATCCACCTTGATTAAGGGCTCCTGGACTTGACACAAACAAAAGACAAGATCTCAACCACAGTGGTGGACTGCCTGAGTATTTTTCTTTTTTGGTTCTCCAGACAAACATACCTGGCATTCTTAAAAGTATATGCAGCATTACGCTTCACTCAGACCACAGAGCATTTCTGAATGGCTCGATTTCTTCAGATTTTATGTAACTGCCAAGCAGGGTGAAGTATTAAGCCATGTACTGTACAGTAGCATTCCTTTCCAACACTTTCAGCTCAAACACTGTGCCCATTGCTTAAGACCGTGTTCTGTAACAGCTGCAGAGTAGCTGCCTCAAACATTCCTCCTTGGTAAACATGGGTGGGGCCCTCAGTTCACCCAAGGGCTTGTTCTATGATTTTTGTCTCCAACAGGAACTCTGTACACAAGCCATAGAACGCACTGATGCTCCCAATGCCTCCTTTGCAAATAATAAAATATTTAAAAAAAATAACTTAAAAAGTGAGTCGGTTGTCTCTGATAAAATCTGAAAGTCACGTAAAATACTCCTAGTTAAGGCTTGTGGTAATGGCTCCGTGATTTTAAAAAGGTATGTGCACATAATGGGGATTTGTTCTAGCTACTGCCTTTGAACTCCAGATGTCTCCGCTGTGTAGGCACAACATAGCAGTGATGGTTAATCACAGTTACATATGTGTTTCATCATTTCTCAGTATGAGCATTTCCCTGCTATCTTGGCCCCAAAATGGCCCTGGGTTTGATAGTTCTATCAAACATTTTTTTTTTTTTTTTTTTTTTTTTGAGATAAGGGATACATTTTTCTTGAAGTCTATATTTTATTCACATTTCGTGTTCTATCTTATCAGCCTCATCTTAATATTTACCATAGAAAATGACTGCACCAGCAAATTCCCTGGTGTTCAGTGCTGGGTGTAGTTTCCCTATGAAGCCACAAGAGGGCACTATTTCCACAACAATAGAGCTGTTGGCACTGAGCCCTCCAAGCCTGCGGCATCCAATAGCCAATAACACAGAGCAAAGAAATGAAAGTTTGATGTTTATTATGAAAGACTCTGTGTTAATACATCACAAATGTATCTGAAACCAGAGAAATTGAATTAACTAATATGGCATGCACATAAATGCCTGAAAATCCTCTATATGTGCAATTACGATACCAGAGGAGATGTATGTATGCTATATATTTAAAGTTGGACATTTACTGATTAGTCTTTAACATTCTGTATTCCTTTGCTTTTGCAAATGTTGCTAATTAATTATGCTGTTCTTAGATTTATTTCAGATTTGAATCCTGGCACCAGGCATGGCTGACACATACACACAGTTGTGAGCAATATTTAGTATTTATTTTTATGTGCATGCAAAAAGATTGCGCCATGATGATGATGACAATTTCCATCATTTGCATGTGGCTTCATCTCCTCTATAATAAGGGCACATGAAAGGGATTTAAATACATAACATGTCAGTTAAGCATTTGGAGAGGAATGGAGCCGTGGGATGCCTTGCTTCCTAATTAACATTTCTGCAGTAGATGTGAGATGGGTTCATATGTCTGCACACTTGCCTGTTTTTCTGAATGACAGAAGAGACACTGAAGGTGACAGCATGCTAATTTTGAGATCACTCAGTGGCTCCCCTGCCTTAAGCAGGGCAGGGTTATGCAAATAAAATGGAACGATACAATATTTTCCCCCCTGAATTAGCTTCCTGGATAAGAAAAGTAAGGTTCATGTGCTATACTGACGCTGGTCTTTGTAATATGACACAAACCTTGTTACTTCTATCATGACCTCTTTAAACCTGATTAACTTCCAGTACTTTTCACAGCCATGCAAGTCAATTTTACAGCATCATGTTTTCAGCTGCACCAGTTGCATTATAATTGTACTGAAAAATTCCTGTTTGGAGAAATAGCAGACATTTCTTTAACCAAATCCTCAGGGAGCAAAGCAACAGAGTCATTGCTTGTCCTTTTAAAACTCTACATCTTATCAGTTAATCATAAAAGTTTAGATGGTACATCACTAAATACAGTTAATAAACTCTGTATATTAAAGGGAAAATGTGTGTGAAGTACCATACAGTTGGGGGGCCAACAAGAGACTTTTTTGACTCTTAGGTCCTACAGAATGGGTAAAAATCCGAAAACAGAATCCTTCATTTCCCATAGTGCAACTCCATTGCGTCTTTGATTAGACATGTCCCTACTCCTCCTATGATGACATTGGGATTATTTTTTTTATCAACTTTGGCAAGTAATGCGTCTTTCACAAAATGAAAAGCATAGGAAGAGGAAACAGTTTCTTGCATAGTGGTAAGGGTACAATAATATTTCACACCAGGCATTACTTGCAATGCAGTGGCTTCAAAGTATTGTTTCTGCCCAGTCCAGTAGCTACTCTAACACTGCTGCCAGTCTGCTCTATGAGTTGAGAGACTTGCATTATAAACCCCAAAACATTTTAACAGCTATATATATATATATATATATATATATTTACAAATCCCCCTCTCACCCCTTGCGGGGTGTTATGTGTCATCCTCAAGCTCGCATCCTCTACCAGAGGCCTGGGAGTTAGAGGATTCTGCGCAGTATCTTAGCTGTTCCTAGGACTGCACTCTTCTGGACAGAGACCTCTGATGTTGTACCTGGAATCTGCTGTAGCCACTCTCCCAGTTTGGGGGTCACAGCCCCCAGTGCTCCGATCGCCACTGGCACCACTGTTGATCTTACTTTCCACATCTTTTCTAGCTCCTCTTTCAGCCCTCGGTATTTCTCAAGCTTCTCGTGTTCCTTCTTCTTGATGTTGCTGTCGCTTGGGATTGCCACATCTATCACTGCAGACTTCTTCTGCTGTTTGTCGATCAACACAATGTCTGGTTGGTTAGCCATCACCAGTTTGTCAGTCTGGATCCCACAGGATCTTAGCTTGGTCATTCTCAACTACCTTAGGAGGTGTCTTCCATTTTGACCTTGGGACTTCCAGCCCATACTCATGGCAGATGTTCCTATACGCTATGCCAGCTACCTGGTTATGGCGTTCCATATACGCACTTCCTGCTTGCATCTTACACCGTGCTGTTATGTGCTGTACTGTCTCAGGGGCATCCTTGCACAGTCTGCACCTGGGGAGTGCCTGTTCTTGTGCCGCTATGATTAGTGCTTCTGTGCTGTCCTTTAGTCTAGCCTTTTCCAGCCACTGGTAGGATTTCTTGATATCAGCCACTTCTTCTATTTGTCTGTGGTACATGCCGTGCAGCGGCTTGTCCCTCCATGAAGGTTCTTCATCTTCCTTGTCCTCACCCTCGGGTTTCTGCTGTCTGAGGTATTCACTAAGCCCTTTATCTTTGGGGGCCATCTTCCTGATGTACTCTTGGATCTTTGTTGTTTCATCCTGGACAGTGGTCTTGACACTCACTAGCCCTCGGCCTCCCTTGCTACGCTTGGTGTACAGTCTCAGGGTGCTGGATTTGGGTTGAAACCCTCCATGCATTGTGAGGAGCTTTCTTGTCATGATGTCAGTAGCCTTTATCTCCTCCTTTGGCCAGTTTATTATACCAGTAGGGTATCTGATGACTGGCAGGGCGTATGTGTAGATGGCTCGGATCTTGTTTTTCCCATTCAGCTGACTTTTCAGGACCTGCCTTACTCTCTGTAGGTATTTGGCTGTGGCGGACTTCCTTGCTGCCTCCTCATGGTATACTAACTAACTGCACTCCATGAACGCCTGGCAGCACAAATGAACCAACTGCTGATGGATGGGACCCACCAAGAATGGTTAACCCAAGGACGGACAGTCCTGATCATGAAGGATCCCCAGAAGGGAACAATCCCATCCAACTCCCGGCCAATAACCTGCCTCTGCACAACATGGAAGCTCCTGTCAGGCATCATAGAGGCTAAGATGAGTAGGCACATGGCTCAATACATGGACAGGGCCCAGAAGGGAATGGGCAGTAATACTAGGGGAGCCAAGCACCAGCTACTGGTTGATAGAGCAGTCACTCGACTGCAAGACCAGGCAGACCAATCTGTGTACCGCCTGGATTGACTACAAGAATGGAATATGGAATGAAAGTCTGAATATATGGAATGGAAGTCTGTATATATTGAATGAAAGTCTGAATATATTGAATGAAAGTCTGAATATATTGAATGAAAGTCTGTATATATTGAATGAAAGTCTGTATATATTGAATGAAAGTCTGAATATATGGAATGGAAGTCTGTATATATTGAATGAAAGTCTGAATATATTGAATGAAAGTCTGAATATATGGAATGGAAGTCTGTATATATTGAATGAAAGTCTGTATATATTGAATGAAAGTCTGAATATATTGAATGAAAGTCTGTATATATTGAATGAAAGTCTGAATATATGGAATGGAAGTCTGTATATATTGAATGAAAGTCTGAATATATTGAATGAAAGTCTGAATATATGGAATGGAAGTCTGTATATATTGAATGAAAGTCTGTATATATTGAATGAAAGTCTGAATATATTGAATGAAAGTCTGAATATATGGAATGGAAGTCTGTATATATTGAATGAAAGTCTGAATATATTGAATGAAAGTCTGAATATATGGAATGGAAGTCTGTATATATTGAATGAAAGTCTGAATATATTGAATGAAAGTCTGAATATATTGAATGAAAGTCTGAATATATGGAATGGAAGTCTGTATATATTGAATGAAAGTCTGAATATATGGAATGAAAGTCTGAATATATTGAATGAAATCAGACGTCATTACCACATTGGCGCCATCTTGTGTTTTCGGTGTGAAGTGTGACACTGTAACACTGACTGAATCAGCAAGAAATTTTGAGCAATGAAGAGATTATAAACACACTGGCGAATGCATGTACGAGCCAAAATACTGGACACCATATCCAGTACCTTTCTCCTGAATTTATTGTCTTTCATCGCGGAAGACCAAATGCAGGAAACCTCCCAGGGCAGGCAGTTCCCGTTTATCAGGCAAACGGAAATACGCCTTTAACCTCACAGGTGACCCGCACAACAGCCCCTATCTACAATCTTCGTCTGTCCACCCAAAAGGGCTCAGGACACAAACAGTAACAATAGAATTGAATGCATTTGAATTGTTGTTTAAAGAGTAAGATCCTGTGTTTAACCAGAATTAGCTGTTACATTGCTCTCTTCAAAACCACCAAACTCCATTGACAAAACAGTAATTTTAATGTTACCGCTGCCAGCTTATTGTGTGATTTAAGCTTTTTAAAGCTTTTTGTGTGACTTTGGTGTTTAAAAGATTAGTTCGGATCCTAAGTTGTGGCACCTGTGAGATACATATATATATATATATATATACACATGTATATGTTTGTGCAAATATATGTGCAACAACTGTCTGGCACCCAGCTGTCACATAGCAGAAGATGCCTTCAACTAGCTGTTTTAAAGGGTTCAGCTTCAGTTCTATGTGCTTCTTTGCACCCTGTTTGCCCCGAGACCCAACATGTGAAATACCACAGGTGGCTGCGGGCGGTGCGCCAAGCTATCAGCAGGACACCTTAGCTGGCAAGTTGAAGGCTGTGTGATATTTACCTCAATTACCCAGAAAGCAACTGAGGCAAATTATATGCAGATCATCATCTGTAAATAAGAGATAGTGCGTCTCACCCTCGTGTAAATTAAGTAACAGTACATACAACCCTCAGAAGCAAACAGAAGACACATTTGTCCCCCTGGTTTTTAATATAGTAAACTTGGCAGCCATTTTTTTTTACCTCACGGCAAATTGGACCCCCATGGCACGGTGGCACTATTTCTGTCTTGTGTGGTTAGTCACTATTTGTTACAGAGACTGTTTTCGACACTTACCAACACTGCATTGATATTTTCCTGTAAGTTGGGTTCACCTTTCTTTCTCCACGCCCAAGGTCAAACGCAATGTGAGCTTGTCAAACAAAATCAGCACTTTTTTGGGGTGTGTATTGTTTCTGCTTTAGCTTTCAGCAAGCTTTGCAGGGGCAAAGTTACACAATTCAAGCTGTATGCAGTGCAGTTTGAAGAGGATTATGATTATATCAGCCCTATTTACTATTTCATGTGGCTCTTGATGATACATTGTACTCAGCCTACTCAGCTTATTACTTTCTCAATGAATAACAAATGAGTTGTCAAATAAAAGGCAAATAAACACAGGCTAAAGAGAAGCTGATACACATATTTTATTAGAACATATGAGGGGAAAATAGGTTTGGAAAATGAAGCATTAAATTCAGACATTAAGAGTATCTGAGCCTCTGATGCCCTCTTTCTCTCTCATCTGCTCTTACAGAGGCACATGTGGCGTCTTGCCTACTCATCCAAACAAGGGGACAAATTACTTTAATTATAGAGTAATTGCAGTCTTGTGTTAATTAAATCTTTATCAGTTCAAGTAAGTGGATTTCTCCCCCCCTCCCCCTGCTCTGTCTAAATTTTCCACCACCACAGTCTGAGGCCATCTTTCATTCCCAGTCTTACCCGACTCTCCCTCTCTCTCACCCCTGGGTCTCACACAGACATGATTGGGATTAGCGTCATTCGTGGAAGGGGGTTGTTTTACCAACTCTGTCGGTAGCCAGCTGTTTCTTAAAAATACCATAACAAACATGATAGCACTGGCATGAGGGAGTGTCCTCCGCTGCAAAATGAGATACAAGATTTATCTTAGGTTCCTGGTGTTTGACAAAATTGAATCCTCTCATTTTAATTGCTCTCGACTAGGTGTGCTGCTCCGGGCGATTGAAGCAGGAGCTCTGTATGTTGTCCCTTGTTCTCTTCAGACTATTATGTTCCATTGTGCAAAATCCCGATTATGATTTGCTTTATCCTTGTCATCTATCTTATTTAGGATCATTTAGGTAGCCACATGTTACAAAGGAACAGCAGTGCACCCTGTTATTATGTGTGTTTGAGTCTCTTGCTTCTTGTAATGAAAACAGGATCACAGCGGAGAATTAATCTCTCTGAAGACTTCTTCACTGGTTCAAGGCCTCACTACATTTTATGGAAAATGCAGGGAATTTGACTTGTTTTGTTTGGCCAAGAATTTGATTCATAGTTTGGAATATTATTACAAATACTTGTCTTACAGTCAGAATATTGGTCCATAGTTTTCTCAGTAATAGAGAGGGGACCGTTTTGGATGATAGGAAGTAGTGGGTCACCAGAATGACTTTATTTAGCTCTGAATGAGGTGATGAATAACTAACTTTATTATCTATTATACATTTGTCATTAGTGCTAATAAATCAACATTTGCAAATCAAAATCATTATAGTATTGTCTGCCGTATCATATTTTGTGATTTGTTATATTTCTCATTACTGTAACTTTTTTCAACCTAGAAAGAGTCTATCTGGCAGTGCCTGCGTCACACTTGCCCAAATGCAAACACCACCATTTTTGAGCTTTTAACATATACAGTGTGTGGATTCTGGCTTGTGGACACTCTCTGCGAGCAACTGTTTAGTAGTGAGAATGTTTATGGGACGATGAATGGGTGTAATATGGCTGTGAAGCAGATTCAAAAGGGCTTAACTGGATTACACCTCATTTCAAGGATGCTTAAGGTAAGATTAAAACAGATATGTGGTAAGTGAGGAAAATACAAAATCAAATAGATTGAATTTCACTCAGCAGTTTCGTAAGCCACTTGCTCATGCATGTGTGTTTTTGTGAGGTTCCGAGTTTAAAAAAAAATCAACAACAATCAGGGACGCATTTCTATGCGAGACAATATGTGAGATTGTTAGTGTAAAAAGGATTCAGCAAACGGAAACATGCGCACATTTCAACAGTTTTGCTCTGTTGGACCGTCACAATTCACAATTAATGCCCTTTCTTATCTCATGCTACAAATCCCCAGAGCTGGAACATTAGAAGTCTCTAATCACGCACACTGGAAACACACTGACTGTGTGTCCATGCACTCTAACACACACACACATTCACACACACCTCACATACAATCTGAAAAGATAATGAATTTAATACCACTGCTATTACAGTCAACTAATGTTTGTTAATAGCTTGGTGCCATATGGAACAAGGGCCTCAACCATGTGGGTAATTCCTCTGTTTGGACAAGTTGTCAATGAAAAGGCCTTGCATTTTCTGGATGCATGGGGATCGGGCTAGGCGTGAGGTTGCTGGAGGATGTGCTTAATCCAGAGGGCTCTCTAATGATTCTTCTGTGCCTGGAATAGGAGTGACAGGCCTCTGTGAATATACTCACTGTGTGTTTTATCTTTCCTATCAGAGCTGAAATATGCGTTCATATTAACACTCCATTGAGCATTTGTGCATATGCTGTTCAATTTGGTTGGGTGCAAGACTTTGGTTCTCCATGTGGCGGGGGCTAATGGAAGTGGTGGTTTTAGAGACTTTATGACGTGCCTGATTACAACCCCCCCTCCCCTCCTGCACATCCCCCAAATTCACTCCATCTCCTCCCCATATCCCTCTGGCAGCACTGCAGCCCAGCGGATAACCAAGCGTGGATTAGCAGTGACATCACACTGAAGAGATGGCTGAGCCCAAGTGTGAGGAAGGGTGAGTGCTTGGGTGTGTGTGTCGGATGGGTGTGAGCGTCATGTGTGTGTTCAAGACTGATTAGACGATGAGGGTGGTGGTGAGAGGGAAGCGAGGATTAGAGAGCCATCCGAGAGTTGGCTAGGTGCTGACACCACTCCACCTCACCAAGGGCTCAATTTACTGAGGGATCAGACTCATTTATGGTGGGCTGGGATTATTATCAGTTCAATAGGGCAATTTCTTTATTACAGTCACCCTTCAACCTGTGAAATACGGACACTTGTGAGACATCTATGGGTGCATGTATCTTGTTTCAGTTATAATCTAGTGCTTTTCTGCGACACTTAATTTTGTATTAGCAGCCAAAACTAGTATGATCGTGTTCAAATGTAGTATTACTCTTACTACGAGACCCAGAGTCTGCTCGCTGCCAGTGCACCACAAAAAAAACTGTCTTTTCTTTGTTTTGAGAAAAGGCTGGCCACAATAAAACATGTAATCCATCTGTCGTACTTCAACTCCTGGGAGTTTAAAGAGCGCTACGGTGGAGCTTTTTCTTTTTTTAAAGGCTCCAAACCGGGTAAGACAGGCAGCTATGTTTGAGTTTGGGTTTACCTGGAATGTCAACAATCTTTCGCTGGCCCTCTGTATTGAACCGCTTGTAATGCATTGAGCGTCACCAAATTCTTCCACAGCACAGTCCACTGAGAAAACAGGTTTCGGCTGCATCTACAACAACAGAACAATAGCGAATAAAATGTAGGACAGGACACATTTAGTTGCAGCCAAATGTGAAGGAACAGAGGCTGCGCCATTGAGTCAGGTTTACTAACTTGAATAAGATCTATTAGCCACTTTCACACCTTATACACATAAGGTAGGCACAAAGACATAATCATGATTTATAATAAAGATTGGATGTTCAAATTTTGAAAGATCTTTTTAAAAAAATCTCACTACAAGTAGCTTTTATTTGTGGCTCCTGATTGTATCACATATCTTCTTCAGCAGATGGATTTGTCCACTTGTGAAAATGTGGATGTTAAAATTTCTATTCCTCTGTGGACCTTAAGGACTTGATGTTGTCCATAAAAGTTTAGATTTAGAGTTAATTCTTGACACTGAAAAAGCAGTTGGCAAAACTTATTATTTTATTATTAGTACATAATAATCATAATCACTGGGGCAGTGATGGAACCCCTCTGGGGTGGGAGACTGGCGTTCGAGTGCCAGCAATTTGGATAAAAGCGTCACCTAAATGAATGTAATCATTTCATATTTGACTGCCGATCCCTAGCACACATCTGTATTATACCTGAAAAAAACACAAGCACATTTATAAAGAATAAAATAAAGAAAGGCTAGTATTATTAATTATTTTAGTTATGTTCAGATGAATTTACACACAGTATCCTGTGTGGCCAACAGATGCAGACCCTCCCTCAGTCAGCCATGTGAACAGAAGCGATGAGAGAGATCTCAGCCTTTCATTCCAAGTCTCACAGTTTCACAGGCAACACGTCCGAGGAAAAACACTTGTCTTCCACCGCCACAATCAACGTTAATTGTTATATTATCCAGAGACAATATAAATCACAACTAGCTCGATGGCTACTGTAACTTTTAGGGATGGCGCTTCCGATAGTATCGCGAGTTTATCTCGTTGGCGAGAATCAGGCTGCCACTTCCCGGGAACAGAAACGGTTCAATTGAACCAACTGTCGAGCCTGCGCAAATAAAGTTAAGTTAAATATGTACTTGGTGTCATATTAACTATACTTCAGCTCTTGCTTAACATCGGTTATCAGGTTAACTTAGTTTACGGTTCTATTTAAATGTAATGTGTGGACGCTAACGTTTGCTAGCCCGCTAGTTAGTCGACATTAGCAGAACTCTCGGTATTTATCCAGAAAGAAAAAATGGCTGCGGAGGAGAGGACAAGCTGGATACTGACATGTGCTACGGTCGCTTTTGTCGCCGCTCTGTATGTGCCCTGTGTGCAGAGGACTGTCCCCGGTGGAGACTCAGGTTGGTGCTAGCCACCTAGCTAATGCTCATCTGGTCATGTGGTTTTGTTGTGTTGCGGGGCAGCCAATCGTGTGGCGCCTTGTTTGCGTCGCCGCTGCAATGAACGGGTGCTGTCCGTGGTACTGCAGGTACCTCAAACATGTGCCAACATGCTTGCTTGAGAATAACATACTTAAACAGTGATATGTTGATTTTAATATACACACTGATTGACTTACGAAATCTAAGACACCATCTTTCAAAAGGTCCACCATTAATAGTTTTAAATTCACCTGCAAGACTACCTGCAGTCTACTCTGTTGAATGGTTCAGCGTTAAGGTAGAATTGAATGTAAAAGCATTCGAGATAATGACTTTTGGAGGAACATTTCTAACAAATAAAAAGATCTCTAAGGTATTATGTGTATCATGTGCAATCAGTATAATAAAAAAAACAATGGTAAAGTTTCCCCATTATGTTGTATTCAATATTTTTTATTGTTTTTACTGTGTTCATGTGAGACAAAGACTGATTTCCTTCCCTGTTGAGACAACTCAGTTTATTTATTTTATTTTATGAATGAGCTTTGAAAAGGTCTTGAAAGTTCTTGCAGTGTATTTGATTTCATTTCATTTCTAGATAATGCTTTTAGAAGGAATTCAGTGTTACTTTTGACACTAGAAATGATCTGAGAAGAGAGGTTTCTTTTAAATCTAAAAATATTTTAATGATGGCAGTCAGGATCGAAAACAAATGTGGCCCAATGCATTAACATGAGTTTATTCTATGATCATTATCACAATATTAACTTTGCCCATTTGACCCACTCCTAATTTCCATTACCTGCACTGAAATAAATGTAAATACTCCGTATTTGTATAGCGCCTTTCTAGTCTTTTCATTCACCATTCATACACTGGCGGAACAGCCGCCAAAGGCAATTTGGGGTTCAGTATCTTGCCCAAGGACACTTCGACATGCAGCTTGGAGGTGCTGGGGATTGAACCGCCGACCTTCCGATTAACGGGCAACCCACTCTCACTCCTGAGCCACAGCAGTTATTCATAAAGTTATTAATAGATTATTATTTATTAAATAAAAAATGTCATCCTTTTACCTATATGCAATCATTCTCCTTTTGCTTTGTGTCTTCAGAAGCCAAGAGAAAAAAAATTGTAGAACAACCAAGGCGGGCAATACCGACACCATTTGTAATGACAAAGTATTTTTTACAGCCACTGACTTTATAAAATAGTATGTGGTGTTTGTTTAAATTAAATAACGTGTGTGTGCATACCTTTAATTTGCACTCTTCTGTAACAAGGTTTAACAGTGGACCCACATGTATTTCACTCAGTACCTTCCTATGTTGTAGGCCAATGTGTATTCCAACATTCTTGTAATGCAGTTTATGAAGGACTGCCTTGTACAATTACAAACAGTGTTTAGAAGTGATAGCTAGGTTACAAACTTGTAAATGTGGCGTGAAGGCTCTGCTTGTTATGTTTGCACTGCTCTGGCATACACGCTGCTGTGGTGGTGGAATGCACATTTTGCAAAATGAAAGCATATGAAAAGCTTGGCCAGATATGAGCGAGCAGAGACGAGGAGAGAGCAGGCAATTGGAGCGCTGAGTAGCCCTGCTGGTTGTGCTGCTGTCTAGCGAACGGGGCCTTTGAAAAAATGGCCAGCCCCTTCTCCACAGTGTTTAGGGACGGTGCAGGATGCCCGCTCTGATAGTGCCAGCTGAACACCCTTCCGAATTCTCCAGGTCTCCGTCTCTGTGTCCTAATCTCTTTAGGTGTGATGTGCCCTGGAGAGGCTTGAGCACAGCCCCGCGGGTACGCTGTTGTTTAGGAATGTGGAGTGTGGAAATGATGGGGATTATGGGAAGACTGGTGTGGGTGCCCATGCTCCACTATCACAAAGACTCTTGGCACCCATGCTGCTACCCGGTTGAGTCAATATTTTCCCTTTTTAGTACTGGGGCTGCAGAACTGCGTCTCTGTGGCACTGAGATGGATTTTTTTGGCTCAATATTAGTTTGAGTTTTTCTGCGTTGAATGGTGTAAAAGTGTGCCACTACTGAGGGAAAATGAGTGAAATTGAGAAACCGATGAGGGATGAGAAAGTGTGATGTAAAAATGATGGCAGGTAGCTGGCGGCTCATGCCAGGTGAAATAGAGCTGTGAAAACATTTAAGCTGTGCAGGTGGAGGAGTTCTGACTTCATGGTCCATTAGACTGATAAGAGTTGGGGCTCCTCATGTGGCAGAAATTTAGGCATAATAATTCACTGTATCGGCAAGGTTGCAAAATTCGTGATGTAGCCAATGCCATCTGAAATACAGCTGTTCTGTTCCATAATGGTTGGTGCTGCAATGGGGCCCATGTTCTTGCTCTTTAAATGTTTATTTTGAATATGTAAAAACACTTAAATAACCAGCCATACTCTGTTGCCATTTTTAATGTTTGCTTAAAAAATAATTAAAAACCCCTTTACCTTTTAATGTGATTTGTTTCCTCGGCTATATTTATGGATCTATCAGGCATCCTACATAGCTTGTATGCAGGTGAAGTAATAGACTAATTATTCTTTCAGTGCTGGTGCAGGAAACAAGGTCACTGCTGTTAATTTGCTTTTTTCGGATGGAGGAGTTGACTACCTAAATGGTACCAGTAGAGGGAGCTGTCTTGAACCCAAAACATTTATCACTGTCATTTAATCTGAACCAAATTTCAATTTTCATGAGTGGGAGATGCAAACATTGGGTGAGAAATCAGTATAATTTGAAACGCTCTGGGTGTATTCTGGCACAAATGGGTTTGTGCCCAGATACATTAAAGCTTCCTCAAATAGCTTTTAGGGGTTTTCTTTTCACTTTGTGCTGCGCCTCACACAGAGCTTGTCAAAAAATTGTGCAGCCGGCTCTTATTTTTACAGCTTACCTCATTCTGTGACTGTCACCAACGTTGCCTTTCTGTTTGTGCCCAACGGACTAAAGGAGACATTGAGACACTGGGAGTGTGGGAGCAGGAAAGAGGCATGTAGAGCGGCAGAAGAAAGAGGAAGGGAAAGGACCCTGGTGCATGGGGAGGATGGGACTGGAAGCATTATTCTCAGATCAGCATATGTGTGTCTTTGTGTGACAGAGCGTTGGAGAAGGAGTCTAATGGTGTGTGTGTGTGTGTGTGTGTGTGTGTGTGTGTGTGTGTGTGTGTGTGTGTTTATATCTATGTGTATGTGCTGGAGGAAAGGAGGTAGGCATCAGGGGAGAAGCGAGAGATGAAGAGAATGAGCATGCCGCTTAGGAAATGTCACACTGGGAAGATTTGTAGGTTTTGATCCTGGCAAATTAATGCAAAACCCCAGTGCAAGTATTTGATTTGGGAAAACTTTGGGAGCAGACTTGTCTCTTAATAATAATTATTGGGTTTACATTAATTTCCTCCCCTATTCTCTTCCACAGGAGAGCTGATCACCACTGCTTGTGAGCTGGGGGTAAGTATTAGCTGTATTGTTTAATCAATTCACTCATTAACTCTTATAAGCATTAAGGAAGTTTAATTAAGCATGGGCAGAAAGCAGATTAATTTACTTTCAGTCCACAGGTTTTCCCCCCTCTGTTCTATACACTTATTTTACTAAGTTGCAAGTAGAGAATGCTATAATTTGCAACCCGTTTTTCAAATCCAATTAAAGTCAATGGTAAGGCGATGGCTTTTGTAGGCTTTGCCTTATGTACGGTATAAGGCTTATTATATCCACCCCTCTTTTTTTGTGTGTGTGTAAGCCGCGAAGAATGAACTAAATCGGGTTAACAGTTATAATAAGTTTTATTATTTAATAAAGTTTATTACGCCGCTGTGATCCTTTTAGGGAGGCTGTGTCGGTGTCACTATGCCAGTAATCCTGCCGTTAGTGCTGCAGTCCGTGTGGCCTGCCTCTCTGCCTTTCAGGCCTCCCCAGGGCCTTGCAGGCCGTCCCTGGGCCCCAGGCTGCCTGCCCCCCCTTTCTGATCCCCAGAGCTCTAGAGTTCTGCTTTGCCATGGTCCCTGTGGCCTTTGTCCCTCAGCTGTCCTCTTGCTGCACGTCTGTCCACTCCAGTCGGCCACACAGTCCTTCTCCACGTGCTCCACATCCTCTTAAGTGATGCTCATTTTGGTGGGATACCTACCTGTCTGGTGCTAACTTAGTTCAACAAGCTGTCCGCTGAGTCGCTGTCTGTTTCTTTCTTCATTCTTTACTTTGCTTCTTCTCTTTTGCCCCTTTGACTTCTCTTGACCTACATGCTCCATCCTCAACCCGTCCTATGGGTGAAGTTGTTTCTGTGTGAACATAACCAAGGAGTTGCTGTGTCTGAGTTGACCGCTGAGGTAGTTACACTCTCACCTTTCAGTTCTGTGTTCTTTTGAAGAGCTGCCCCTTCTCCCTGCCTGCATGGCTGGTGTTATCAGTGCCAGGGAATGAGCCTGTGTTTAATGACTGAGCCCTTATCTGGGTGGAGGAGACTTAGCGGCTAATTGCTGTGATTGCCGAGATCCCCCAGGCGAGAATGACTGCGGCTCGGAGGTGGTTTGGGGGCCAGGGCTGGCGAGCACCACGTGCTCTACCACGGGCTCCGGGGAGATGCACTGTCCTTGGGAAGAGGCCAGAGGAACAGAAAAGGGAGGAAGAGAGGGAGAGGAGGGCCCTGGTATCATAGCAGAGTCAGTTTGCGGTCATGCCTGGCAGGATCTGTCTGCTTCTTCCATCACTGCAGCTCTACAGTGAACCACTGCTTGGATCTACTGAGGGCAGAAGAGCAACTAGATTTCCCCACTCAGTCAGAAGGGGCTTGTAACTACTAACACATTCATAATGCTCCTTAACACCATCTGCTTTACTATTGCTTAGTGGTCACCTCCTATATTCTCTCTAGCTTTTGAATTTGTGCTTTTTTTTCTCCAGTTATTTTTAAAACAAAGTAAATCTTTGCTATCACCATCTTAGCCTGCTATCCACTCAAATACATCTTGAATTAAGCAATACCTTGTTTTATGTGCTCTAGATTTGGATTTCATACTTTTTCATGTCATTTTGTTTGTAGGTGGCCCATCCTCCAGGATACCCTCTCTTCACCTTACTAGCTCGTCTGGCTATGTGTCTTTTGCCTTCACTGTCTCCAGCCCACAGCGTCAACCTGATGAGTAGTATGCTGGGGGCTGCAGCCTGTGGTGCCCTCTGTATTTCTGTTTGCAGGTAAGCATATGAAATATGCGTTTATTATGTCATTTCCCACAATTTATTGATGTTTTTGTGTTATTCCTCTGTTCTGCAATTACTGTGCTTTGAGTTTACTACTTTACTGTTTCAGTAAAAAATAATGCAGGGCAGTTTTAGTGGTCTAGTTTTCTCTCATAATTGTCATCTACACAAGATGCCACAAAAATGTGCTTGTATGCATGTCTCAAACTTAGATTTCAGGAAAGCACAGAGAAGCCCTTCCCCCTTCAGCAAATCTGACAACAGCCTTGTAGTGACAAACTTTGCACATTCATCAATTTGTATAGAAAAAGTCAAACATCCAAAGGAAGTAATAACAAAAGCCCCATCCACTTTTTTAAGTGGATGGGGTCTTAAACATTCCACTACTACTACTTTTTTGCATCTTGATTCTGTCTAGAACAGACCCCAATATTTTTGGGTCCTGACAGACTGGCAGTGTCGTTCCTGATCCTCTGTTCAGTATTCAGGAGCAGAGCTCAGTCACCCTCCTCCTTCCCACCACCCTGGCCTGCCTGTTTACCCATCAGCCACCCGTTGTGACTGTGCGTGTGTATGTATATCACAATTATCGTGCCCTCCATCCGCCACCAGACATCCCTGTTCTCCTGCCCCCCCCCACCCCACTGCCCAGCATGCTCCCAATCCTGACATGGCACGATTTCTTATCTCCCCTTTCTTGCCTCCTGGCTCTCAGGGGGACAGGATCACTAACTCTGCTCCTCCCTCTCCTCTCTCTTCAACCATCTCCCCCCTCGCTCAGTCATGGCCACAGTTTACGGTCTCTGCATTGCCATCTACTACCCTGCAGTTTCTCCTGCTGCTGACCCTATAATGTAAGGAGTATTTTCCCCTTTTCCCCTTTGTGTGTGATTATCTCCCATGGTTGGTCGGACTACCTTACATCACCCTTTTGCTGATCTTAGTAATTTTCCACATAGCATTGTTGGTGGCAGCTTAGTGTCAACATTTTTCCTTTTTGTCACTGTTTATGCATACTGGGGCATTTCCAAGCATGGCATATACTTCTAATTTACTCATCCAGATTAGGAATTGTTGAATATGATGTAATTTCTTCCTGCTGTACAGTGAAAGCAGGTGAAAATGAAGTTTTGTGTGTTCCCAGTACTTCCTTTGTGCTTGGCCAGTGTGTGCTAGGTGGTAGGTGGTCCAGAGTAGGTCAAGGTACAGGGTCAACTCTGCTGCAGTAGGGCAGGGGCTAGTGAGGAAGTTCTCCCTAGGGGGCTGGCCATAAGGCCAGACTGCATCAGCCTTAGACCCTGCTAGGGCTATACATATCGATTATTTTTCAAGTCAATTAATCTAATGATTATTTTTTCGATTAGTCGATTAATCTAATGACTAATTTTGTTTATTCTAAAGAAAGAAAAGTTGCCTATTACTCGATTAACATACCAATTTATCCAAAATAAATATCAAAAACATGTCTAATCAATAAATCTATATTTTATTCAATCATCCTGATGAAGCACATTAGAATAATGACAACAGCAGCAAATCTTAAAATGAATCAAATTTCCACGTCACTGATGTGTTATGATAATAACAATAACAGACATTAATTAGGCTACTTTACTTAAAACTTTAAATGTTTCTGCCATGGATTCATTTCAATATTAAGTAATGCAGTATGATAATCAAATGTATTTCTGCATCAGTGAACATCTGAAAGGACTCAGACTGTCCAGACAGTCACAGATTGTCTGTAATTAGATTCAGCTGTTTTCTCGCTGATACGTAGCCGTTAAATAAACAGAAAATATGAAACAGCCGATCGTTACACGACTGTAACGTTACGTTACCATGACAGCAGCGGGGCAGAAATTACTTTTAACATGAAGGCAATGAAGAAATACTACGTGTCCTCGTGCTGATAATGTGCCGTGCTTGTGTGGCAACAGAAAGTAATCACGATTTGCGGTGCTGCTGTCTAGACAAAGTGCTCCGGGATACTTTAGTTTCACGTGTTCGTGCTGCTTCACGTATTCGTGGACAGCAGTTGTGCTGCAGTGAAGCTGTTTCCAGTTCAGAGAGCTCACCGAGCAGCACGTTGTTGAGTGTCTGTCTGAAATACTCCAAACTTTAGACGGTCAAAGGCGCGGTCTTGTAGCTGGAGCTTGTCCGGAATAATCCCACACCGGATGCAGCGAGGCGTCGACGTATTTACGTAATCGATTACGTCGACGAATCGCCCCAGCCCTAGACCCTGCCCCACCTTACTGTGTCTCAGAGGTGAATCAAAACCTCCCTGCTTCAACCACTCTGCCCAGGACAGGATAGGGGATAGGAAAAGTATAAAGAAAGAACAAAAAAAGGGAAAGAACACTGCACTCCTTTGGGGGTTTTCTGGCTTTCAATCTTTACTACTCCCACAGTCTTAATGCATTTAATGAGTTACCTGTCAAATGGACGATTGGACTCTTGGCCAGACATTTACAGACAGTTATTTTGAGGCCAGAAAATATCCATGCAGTCTGGGTGATATTTGGCTAACAGTGTACATGTTAACTGTAGCCTTGTTTGTAATCTCTGGGGCTTTAGATCACATTTTGGATTATGGTCAAGTAAAAAGTCCAACCTCCAACCCTCCCAACCCCCTAACAAGGGATGATGCATAGTGAGGACCTCAGCCAGAGCACACAGTCACACCATATAAGCTCTAAAGTATGAACGTATAATCTACGCTTTCAATTTGAAAAATAAGCATAAAAGGTTTTAGTCATTATCTGCTCAAGGCCTAGTTGGGGATGAGCCTGTGGCCGTGAATCAGCTGGCACACCTCGCCTGGTGAGTGGTTACTGGAGAGGGCAAAAGATGAGGAGGGTGAGGGTTTTTGGATGGTCAAGACTTCGCTCTCGGTTCTGGCATAGATCGAATTGGGTGCTTTGACCATACCAGCAACATTGGCATAGATTTGATGCCACATCCCTGCGGGGATTCTCTGGCCATGCCTTTTCCCTCAGATGAAATGCCAAAACTGACCAGTTGACACCCGTTCATACCTGCTCTGTCCTTGCAGTGACACCACTTTGCTGTGTCTTTTCCCAACGTAATTAAGTTCTGTAATGTATTTAGTTGTTTGTCCCTTTGAGGCCCTTATAAACTTTTTCACTACTTTTTATTTTTAGGTTTGCGTCAACTGAGAAGTAGACTTTTCCCCCCAAACAAATCATCGCTTTGTGTGATTATATTCAAATGGCAAAATATATTGAAGTTAATACGGCTACTTGAAGGCAGTTTCTCTGAAATAGTAAATTGTAAGACCTTGAAATTCATCTGGAGTATACCCAACATGGCAAGCCTTTGATGTATCAATTTAAATTAGTCGGCCAGATTGCCGTGTTTAATGTGGGGGAATGTAAGTTGATAGGCTTGGAAGCCACTTCTCTCTCTCACATAAGTTTAAATGTAGCACTTAGCCTCCCTTTGATTTGTCAATTACAGTTCTCTTGGCTTGATCATATGGTTTGATGGCCAAATTGCATGTCTTGTTATGTTTTCACACCATGGCCTGACAAGCCTTTGAGGATGGTGGACGTAATGATAATTACTATCGATTGCACTTGGAGGTTCACAGAAAGAAGCATTTGGACCATGGAATGCTAAAGGCCTCAGCCACGAGTCTCTAGAGGAATGCACCCTTCATAGCGGGATAATCCAGATAGCTCGGTATTCTGTGCTCTCTCGTTTCAAAGTTTATCTGCTAAAGCTGCTCTGAATCTCTGCTACCTGGGAGGAATCTCTCTCCATTCCCGAGCTTATCCTGAGAAACCAGAAGCATACACGCTAGCGTGCTGACAGCCATCAGAGCAGAAAAACAACCTCACAATGTTCAGTCATCAGCACTTTTTGTTTGATCACATGATTACATAACAGGACCGTTGAGGCACACCAAACGTGTCTGGCCTCCCCTTTCCCTGGCGGTCCTCTAAACAAAATGCACACCTGCGAGAGGCTCTCCCGCCAAGAGCTGGCCCATGTGGCACAGCTGATACCTCAGTGGACTAGAGGGTGGGCGTAGTGCCATCCCCAGCTCCTTATAAGGACCTCCACCATATGGTCCTGATGGCGCTTTCCCTCCTCTCTCAGGTGGGTTGTTTTTCTACAGGGTTGGGGTTGCGTGTATCTTGTTTGGGGTCATGTCAAGAGCAATGTGTGTGGGTTGATTGTTGTTTTACAGCTTTTTGCGTAGTTTTGTTTTTTCTAGATGTCATGAGTGTGTGTTGCAGTATCTTGGAAACAGCTGAATAGAGTTGGGGGTTTTTTTGGATAATGTTCTCACCTCTCCTTGCAGGTGGTAAGGCTGTCCCTCCCTCTCACATCTGCTATGGTCGGATAAAATCTTCATCCCAAGTGGCGATAGAGAATACACATATTCCTGTTTTCTTCTGAAAATGCAAGACATTTTTAGGTTTGTCTATTTAAAAGGCCCAATCTCTGGACCTTTTGTACCATTTCTGCAGTATCTCATCCGTCATATTGTAGTCCAACAGACCTCTTTTACTCCCCCCATCCTCAGCATGACCAATGGTTCCCCCAGGACTCATCCTCTAATACAGTTAAACAGATGTCTAATGAAGATGTTATTTCCTCATTACTGGCTATGGGATGGGGATAGAGAGGAGGAGGGAGGAGGGCTAGATAGACAGCAGAATACAGTACCAGTTTAATATTCCTTTCGCCCGTGGGCCCGAGATTGTGTCTGCCTCGGACGTCAATATTACATTCCTCACCCACCACAGGCGGTCTTAATAAGGCACCAGGCACGGAGACGGATCAGACTCGGCAATTACAATTCACCCAGAATTAGTTAATGGAATCTATACAGCAACATTTATGTATCACTGGTGTGTGCCTAATGACTTTGTTGGAAAAAGCAGCAATAAAATGGTATTCAATGAATTGCATAAACACAGGATTTTTGTAAATTGTTTTTTTGCCCTCTTCCTGTAATTTTTGTGTGTTGGGTGGAGATTAAGATGGCATTCTGGGAGAAATTGTCATGTCAGTGGCTGCATTGTTTGAGCAGAATTGTGGTGATTAATTTTACACGCACTTGGAGCTCTGGAGCGCTCTCCTGGAGGAGGGGTGTCTGAGCGGCAGAGCCGGGACCCTTATTTATCCTCCTCTCTGTTCGAGCAGACAGCCTCCTCTTTGCTCACCGGAAGAGGCAGGAAAGACATGGAAATGCCTTGTTTGGTGACTGGCTGAAAATTAGGCTGCGGCATATATTGTTTGAAATTCTGTTAGATAAAAAGGATCAGGGCTGTGCAATACTGAAAGAATCAAATAATATATATTTGTTACCTAAGGGAAATTTTTGTGATGACAATGCTTATGGAAGATAATTTCATACCAAATCATTTAGAAAAAAATATATGATACAAACAAGTGAAGGAGCAGGATAGCAAGTTCATATTATCACACTGATGATATCAATATTATATCTGTTAAAAGGCTGGAATCAATATCATGGTATTGGTAAGAAATGTTTTCTGATATCAATAAGTATCATGATATGGCCAATTTATGCTCTTCACACTTAAAATAAAAACCATAATAATATAGTATAATTTTATAATACTATTATTTATTTATGACACTCCAGTGATTTAGTGTTGCACTTACAAAAAGTTAGGGGACACAGAGAGATACAGTAAAGTCAAAACAAAAGACAAAACCTGGAGAGACTGAGATATCTTGACATTTGGTATAAAGTATAGTTCAAATTGCCAACCCACTTTTCACATAATGCAAATCAGTAGCATATTTAATCCCCCTCCCCACCCCCCACCCCACCGGAAAGCTCGTCCAAAGCCACAGAAGGCATCCTACATCTGCTTACACAGGTTGACTATTGCTCTGTTGACAAGTAAGCTTGGGTAAACTGGAGGAGCACCCCTTTACAAAAAACAAAAACAACAATATTATAATATTGTAATGATATAGTTTCACTGAAAGGGAATAAATGATAATACTGAAATATTGTTCAGCCGTAATAAATACACTGACTGACTTTAAAACACTTCGTAGTATTTTATTTTCGAACACGTATACATAACGTATGATTTAAATGCCCGGATTTGTATATGAATTGCTGTTAGGCTTTGAAATTTCAAAGCAATGCATCAGACACTTACCACTGCCATATAATAGCTACTAAGTACCCTGCCTGGTGTCCTGCCTAGAGGAGAGCCCTGGGGTGTCATTGAGGGCCAGCTGGAAACCTCCGCCTCAGCCCGAGCTGGCCACCTCCTCTCTCGGACTCTCTACCCTCTTCAGGAATGTATGATTCTTTTCCAGCACTGCTTCCCCAAACCACCACTTGGTTAGAGAACAGTGCAGTGCTGATCCGCGATGGCACAGCTGTGGTATTGTCTGTTCCCCACGGTGGTGTGTGACAGTGGGTCCCATGGCCAGCAGCATTGTGAAGCTTCATTCAGTGCAGAGTGCTGGTGTAGGCTTTTTGTGTGCTGTTATTTAGCACAGACGACTGGTGCTGGCACGTCTCTGGCCCATACTGTAGAACTGAGGGGGTGAATGAGGCAGGTCCCTTTTTGACACTTCAAAGTATTTTATTGAGGTTTTCTTGTGTCCTTGAAGGGGACATTGCCATTGTCGTCATTCGTTTTTCATTTACCTTTTGATCTTTCCATTTGAATTGTATTATATTTTTTATAAGAATTTTCTCATTTTTCCTATTTCATCATTTTATTCCTTTTTTAAATAATTTTTTTGCAAAAATATACATTTAAAAGCAAATTTTTTTTCAAACCACTTACATTATATCCAAGTTCCAAGGATTTTTTGATTGTATTTGTCAGTCAGTTAATTACCCAAGTACACAGACATTTTGGCAGGCTGGATCAGTTCAGGGTAGAATAGTCTTGTTGTCAGCCGTGTTATTCTCCCGCCACGTCTCAACCAGGCCATTGTCACTGAGCCACAACATTTCAGCACTGCAGAATCCTGCACAGCATTGAGTCTTGATAACAGGGAACACGGCCACACTGGTGTCAGAATGTGTCCTGCTTTATCTGTGCGCCCTGGGAGCAGCCAGCCTGGAGAATGAGCTGTGGAGAGGCTGACTGGGACCCAGGTGGTCCCGCGCAGACAGACAGGTCATTTACAGCCTGCACTGTACACACATCACTGGGCTCTTGCGGACTGACAAGCTCTAACAGAGAGATTTGTCAGGCACTCAGGGAGAATAAAGAAGTTGAAGAACAGGAATGTGTGTGTTTGTGTGTGCATGTTTGTGTGTGTCTCTGCATATGTGACGAGTGCAGGAACATACTGGTGTAATAACCTCGTCTGTGGACCCCCACGACTGTTCTGTACCCAGTGCTACCCCAAAATCAGCCCCCCTGCTAGGTGTAAGAGCTCTGGGTTAATTGTCATGCAGGGAGGTAAAATTATGGGTGCGGGGGGTCTCTGCACCTCAACAAAAAGTCCCCATGTGCCCCCCCCCCCCATCCTTCTTCATCCTTCCTTCAAGTTACAACTAATTCCTGGAGCGGTGCAGCAAGAAAGACGCTGCTATCTCTTATTAAGACCCACTCCTAGACACCCCATCAACACAGTCCACCCCCTTTCAAGTGCACACACACACACACACACACATATGCATACTCATTCACCATGCTCGCCTTACAGTGAACACAGAGGAAAAATAGTGGAGAGAGAAAACCCAAGAAAAAAAGGGGACGTAGTCAGCAAGCAAGAGGGTTTTTTTCCCTACCATCCTCTCGCTCTCCCTCTTTTTTTTCCTGATTTACCGCGCTTTCCTCAGAAAGCTCCATTGTTCCCCTAGCCTAAGTCTCATCAGGCCTTTTGTGGCTGACTATCACAGCGGCAGGCAGAGAGCTGGAAATGTATAAATGGTATCATGCCTTGTGATTAATGGCGGTGCTTATGAGTCAGGTCTGATAACAGGCCTGCTCTCTACTCAATTTCAGATACCGTTAATGGAATCTGTCTTCTGCGATTGTAATGTGAGAGCGCCTAATTTGCTATGGAGCTTGAAGCTGTCACCGGCAAGGGATTGTGGGGTCATAAGGGACCTGGCAGCCGTTTGGCCTGCAGCTTGTATCTGCGGTGCTGAATAGAGCAGCTCTCTGCCTGTCAGTTAGCTGATAGGCTGATGAGGACTCTAAGCCACTCCACACAATGGCGGAAAGGGCCATACTGCCTGACTTCCCTAATTGTCGAGCCTGCTCATATTTCAGAGCCAGCATGCCGGGGACTGGGCTGCGTTTTTTTTTTCTTCATTTTTTCCCCTTCTCTCTTCTTGAACTTTTTTTCTTCCTTTTTCTTTATTTCATCCTTTATCCTGCACACTGTCTCACCCTTTTAACACACACTTCTCTGCACTATTTTTCTTTTCTTTCCCTTCTCCTCATCATTTGTCGCCTCTCTCTCTCTCTCTCTCTCCCCCTCTCCCCCTCTGCCTCTCATTTTAGTAAGTGGTGGGTCTTAGCGTATGACAGATTATCCCAAGTTTGCTTCAATTACCGCAAAGGAGATGGAGACAGTACAGGAGAGGAGGAAGGGAAAACTTTTGTGCACACATTATATTTAAGAAGCTGAGGATAAAGTACTATCTCTACCACGGTGGGTTCTGTGCCAGTCTGCTCCAGATCAACCTCATGCTAGGGAGGGAGTTGTCATGATATGTGAATGGCCCAATTCACTGTTTTTCAAGGTCTTGTCCGAGAATCAAACTTGGGTCGAAGGAAGATTATAATGGGTCCCCAAATTTGTCTGGGGGAAGTGTTGGCTTTTTTCAACTGCATAATTAAAATTTTGCGTGAAGCTGCTGACATTGTTGTCCTGCCTTTTTTGTGTCAGTGCAGTAACTTTAGTCAAATAAAATACTGCCAAAAACAGTAGAAGTTCTGCAGCTTTTAGAAATGACTTAAGAGCTAAAAGTCGCTCTAGGATTGGTATATTTAAACATTTTAAAAGATGATTTTCTGATTCCTTTTAGTCCAAAGATTTTCAATGATTGCAGTGACCCTATAGTGAAAAATAATTATCAAATAAACAAAACAGCATTTTAGTTGATCTATCAGTGTATGACTCCTCCTGATGGCTGTCTGATTACTCAGTTTGGTTAGAACTGTGTGGGATTTTAAATAAACATAAATTATTTCTGGGTCTGTGTGGAAAGTCACAGATCTTTCTAAAGTTGTGTATAAAAATGAAGTGCCCTCCTCCCTCACTGTCAGGTTGACAGGTCCTGGTCCTGGAGCAGTACTGGCTGGAGGGCTGTTTGCTGTGTCCAGGCTGAGCTGGCAGTGGTCCATGGTGGCAGAGGTCTTCACCCTCAACAACCTTTTTGTCGGTCTACTGTTCTTCTTGACTGCTAGCTTTCACTGTGCTGAAAACACCACCCAGAGGAGGAAGGTAACTCTGTGTAGCACACCTCACTGGTGTCTTTCAGTGTCCTCTGATCATTCCTTAGATGGCATGTTAAGATAGCTTGAAATTGAACTCATGGTGCTGTACTAAAATGCTCAACCTTGTCAGATTGCACATTTGGGAGCGCTCTGCTGTGGCTTGGGCCTCTGTAACCAGCACACCCTGGTGCTGTATGTACTGGTCATCATTCCCTGGGTCCTTCACCGACTTTACTCTTGCAGGGTATGTTCTGGAGTCTTGTTTATAAAAGCTCATAGAACAGATTCTAAAATTGTGTTTAAGAAACCCCAAGACAGGCAAGAGAATTGATATATCAGTTGTATGTACAGCTGTGTACAGTCAACAATTATAGATCCAATAATTACATTCTACAGAAGTAGAAAAAGAGATAAAATGGAATGTTGCTGAGAAAAATGTTCCTGTCTTTTCTTCATTAACCAAAGTAGGATCAGGAAACCATTCAGAGAGATCAGAGATGCTTCACCAGGTTCCCAACAAACTTCAGAATAGTTTAATGTTGAGAGATGATTGTGAACTTTAGTATTATTATTATTCTCCACAGTTTTGTTGCCATCCCATTTAAATTGGATTTTTTAGGATGCTGCTTTTTTGAATGTGTGTTTACATACCTTTTGGAGAACATCTTTTTCCATATGATCTCGACAGGAGCTGTCTTTGCGTGGCTTTGTGTCCCTAGGAGTGTGTTTCCTCGCTGGCTTTCTGCCGTACATCTACCTGCCCATCTCCTCCTACCTCAACACAGCCCGCTGGAGCTGGGGGGATCAGACCACCCTGTCAGGCCTGCTGACCCACCTGCTGAGGGCTGAATATGGCACCTTCAATCTGGTATGTGTTGCTTGCCCTGCTACAAACAAAGTAGTCTAGATTTTTTTATCATGTGCCATTAGTCAATGTATGTGCTCTGACATTTTTATCTTGTATACCAATGGTTTTCATTGTTTTCCTTTTTGTGTTTGCAGGCAAAGACAGAGAGCTCTGTAAATTTGACCACAATGCTAAAGTGAGTCTGCTTGGCATTTTTTTTCACCTTTTTGTCTTTCTTTTGACTAAATTGTTCACACAGGTATTATTATTTTAAATCTTGATTAAACTGGTTAACTGTATGCTGTATGTTATCTGAGTTCATACATATTCACAGTATGTATTGGTTAATCCTAGCTCTTTAAAATGACATGACCTCTTGACATCTTATGTTGCTTATGCAGTGCCTGGGTATGCCACATTGCATTTTAGTGTAAGATTGTCTTTTAAGAATACAACTACTTACTTTACTTTTATTATCAAAATAATATACAGACTATTGTATTGATTATTTATTCAAGTTATTGTAATAATTAGTTAATCATTTAGTCAATAAAAACATAATAAAAAATGCCCATCATAGTCTTCCAGAGCCCAAAGTGACGTCCTGAAATTGCTTGTTTTGTCTGACCAACAGTCCAAAACCCAAAGCTATTCAATTTACAATGATATAGTTATATAGTGGGTGGGGTAGGGGGTGATCATCGGTTTAGAAATGGTCGGACACGGCCTGCCAATCTGGTGTTGGAAAGGTATGGGTGGAGGGATTTCCTAAGATGTTCGACCATCCAACAAGCATACTGGCCCATTTACTGTGTGTCTTTACAACCTTTGTGTTCTGTTTTTACTTATACAGTAGATTCTAAGATGGAGAAGGAAAGCAAACTCTAGAGATTTGATGTGAGGCTCAGTGAGGGCACACGCGATCGTTCTAGAGATGGAGGACCCAACCTCTTTCTGCACTGGTTCTGATGTTTTACACAGGTTTAACCACAGACACTCCAATCTGTTCTGAGAGCCCAGAGTCATTTCCGCAGCCCATCTCTCTCCCGCTTTCTTCTCCCCAGCAGCTTTTGTTCTTCCCATTCCACTCTCTCCCCATCAAAGCAGAACTGAACCTGCTTAGAGGGCCAAATCGCTGTGTTCTGTTTCTCCAGCAGTTTGAAATGATCACTCAGCTCTGGTGTTTAAGCGTGACAAGCTGTGATGACAGACACTGCAATAGAGCTGGAGAAATTGTATTTTTCCACTCCAGAACCCCCCACCTCCTCCACCCGATTCTCTCCCTTTCTCCCCTGTTACCACCACCACCACAGCAGTCATCCCACTCGTGGTATCTTCCTCCAGCTGATGGGAAGGAGGGGGGTGTACATGTGAGTCTTAAGACCCCCCACTACCAGCCCCCCCTCTGCCAGGAACCCACCCCTTCCCATCACCCCTGTTGCTTGATGGACAAGCACACCTTCAAGATGGGGAAGAGAGGCGAACATGACAGGCATGTCGCACTGGAGACGTAAACCCACTGGAGGAGCTGACACACACACACACCCACAAACACACACTGGTGAGCACATTCACACATAGTGTACATTGGGAGATATAGAGACTCAATAAGCTGTCAAATAGAGATGGGTATTAAGGAAGAGGCAGGAAACTATCTCTCTGCTCTGAGCAAGCGTTCTGTGACTGACAGGCGCTGTGAGGAGAGGATGGGGCAGCGGGGGGCGGATGACACAGTCATTCGTATCTGTCAATCCGATTGAAAGGAGGAGTGCACAGTCCAAGGAGTTTGTTTTGATAGAGGATGGAGGGCGTTTAATAACTGCTGTCCTTGAGTTCAGTAGCAGGGAGGGTAATTGAGTTTGTCTTTGGTGTCCATCATATATATTATATGTGTGTTTGTGTGCAGGGCCCAGTTGGACCACTGCCTGGCAGACCTTTCGCTTCCTGTTGTGGTGCTGGCAGGAACAGGCCTCCTCCTATCCTCATGGGACAGGTAGGATGAGCGAGACGCCGGCATACAAAACACCAAACTCTGTCACACACATCTCAGCAGCCGCTTCAACCAAAAATCTAATCCCCCCGAGTAAAAGACAGGGAACAAAACCACTGACAAAATGCTGATCTTAGAAAAAAAGAATACAAAAAAACACTGAGGCACCTAACTGTCAAGCTGTCGCAACGCTCCACATTCAAATCAAGAGAGGTTGATGTGTATTTTGGATTTTCAAAAAAAACTGTTTGCGTGTGGAAGTAAATCACTGCTTGTATGTATAGTATCTGCATGTGGCAGTGTGGTGGCGTGATCCAGTAATTCATAACAGCAGTGCCTTTTCTGGGGTCTGTGGGGTGGAGCTGATAAAGCCTAGTGAAGCCCCGGGGGTCTGTAGGGCACCAGCCACCCCTTGCTTCTCCCTCTCCTGGGCTGCACTTTGAGAAACTTGGCTGCATGCACACAGAGATGAAAAAGAGCAAGGTCATTTCATAGGGTGCCAAAGGGAAACCATGCAAATGCTAATTTACCTAATGTTAAAATATTGAGTGCAACTGTTTGTATGTAAAGAACATCAGGACATTTAATAACAAAACAGTCTTTTTTTACCTGTTTTGAATAATGTGAAGGCAAAACAAAAACAAAATATTTACAGTATGTGTTAGTGGCCAGTGGAACCATCAGAGCAATATGTCAACAGGAAAACTAAAAGTCATTTTCTCCGGCTTCAAAGTGTATCATCAGGTTCAGATGATGATTTGTTAATGCCATAAGGGTAACATGTTTTCTTTTTAGTGTATAAGTACATTTTACAGCTGTACTGTAATGGGTATGTGATTCAGCGGTTGGCAGCAGCTCATTATGACTCAGTCTGCATTAGAAAATCAATCATGCACCTCTTAGCTGGCTGGCGTATACATTTGCTCTCGGGCTTGTGATCTCCATCCATGCGTTAATATTTTGACAGACTTATTCAAAATGAGTATATTTTTACAGAGTAAACAGAAAATGATATATTAGACTAGATATAAGGAAAAGACAGTACAGGAGTATTTAGTACTATTCATGAAGTGATGATGACAAATGTGAACAATATTTGTGTACTGAATAATTAGTGGCCTGTCCTAGGACGTGTCGCTCAGTGTCCTGGCTGTTGACCGCCATGCTGGTGGTCTACTCAATGTTTTTTGCTTGGAGAGCTAACCTGGAAATCAGCAGACCCCTACTGCTTGGAGTGGTGAGCTATGAGATTTAAACTCATGTTGACATCATCTCTAAAAGTGTTTTTATTGTCTTCATTTACCTGCAGTGGTGTAAAAAGTGTTTATACATTGGGTTACAATTGTAATTCAGTTTTCAGTGTATGAGAAATCTATATAGGCAGTACACACATCCTGAAATAAAAGCACTGAAACAGCAGTATATATTATGATGCTGATCCTGGAATGTGTCCATGAGTAAACCCAGGACAGGACTGAGTACCAAAAAACCAGGAACAGGAAACACTGGTGTGTGTGTGTGTGTGTGTGTGTGTGTGTGTGTGAGAGAGAGAGAGTTTGTGTCTGAGTACATGTGTACTCTCACTTCCTGCAGGTTGAGCGTTTCTGGCTCCAGAGTGATGCTGCAGTGTGTGTTCTGGCAGGGCTCGGCTTGAGCCGGACACACACCGAGCTGGAGAGGAGGCTGGGTCGTGGGGGGGTGTGGAAGACCACAGGCTGGGTCTTCACCATAGCTCTACTGGCACATATGGTACACACCAATCACAGGTGAGCATTGCGCTTAGTTACAATAACAAACTCCCTGTTGGGTGTGTTGAAAACCTACAATGCAGTCCATAAATATTGGAACAATATTGTTATGTGTTTGTCATTATTTGGGACTATAACAGTACGTTGGGTTTCAAAAGAAGGGGTGGTGTTGACATACATTTTGGGTGAACAGTGTAGTCCTTCATGCCCTTGGGTGAGCATTTTATTGCATTGTGAACACCCTCAAAACAAAGCTAAGAATCAGTGTTTTAACATTATTCTCACTGTTTCATAACAAATCTAATGCTCTGGAGTACATCAGTTAAACCTTCCTTCCATAATTTTTGTAGCTGCTTTGTATTGTACTTTTACAGGTTGTTTCTGATTCAAAGCTCTAATAGTGTTTTTATTTCAAGCAGCACTTAATGTAGGTTTTCTTTTGGTTGTCCTCATCTCACAAGACAGTCAGATTCTGTACAATCTGTGTGCATTTATCTGTGGAATCAGTTACTTTGCAGTATTCCTGTTGCAATAACTACACTTGAAACCAAATCTGACCTAAGTAATTTGAAATACTTCTATTTAGTAAAGTTAAAGTGAAATAAAAACTCCCCTCTCATTCTAGTTCCTTCTAAAATCCCCATGCATAAGTTTTTCCCTGAGTCAACCTGATTTGTTTCTCCTCTGCGCTTCATACCGCAGGTCTGAACTCCACATGTCAGGTTTTTCTCTGCTCACCCCATGGTATGGGCTAAAGAGAGGCACGGTTAGCACATAGATTCCACTCACAGAGCTCAGCCTGAGATGTTAGCTGTCCGAGAAGGCAGATTACACCAGCGTAGTGCTTGGGAGTGCCAGACAGCCATCACTGAGCGGCTTTGATCAAGGGGAGAGCATGGCCTGTGCTGTCAGACCCATCACACCTGTCTCACTACGATTAGATAGGCAGCCAGAGCACTCTGCAGAGGGGAAGGGGTGGGGGCACTGACAACTTACCCTCAGAGCACCTTGAAAGCATACCTACAAACAGGGACTCACACACACACACACATACACAGTTGTATACATCACACATGCTTCTAAGCAGGGGTAAAGATGCACTCAACCTCTTTTTTTAAATTCAAGTAAACACAACTTGTGTTTTGATGATGTTATACAGTCTGACGGTGTATGTGTTTATGATCCTAGCGAGTGTGATCAGAGCAGAAACAGTGTGGTAGAGAGGTTCGGCAGGGAGCTGCTGGCCTCTGTCCCAAGAGATTCAATCATCCTGACCAGAGGAGATCTGCCTGGAAACTCACTGCGCTACATATACTACTGCCAAGGTGTACGGCCCGATGTACGTCTGGTGGACCAGGAGGTCAGAGCTTTGATTTCTCAACTGTCTTTGTTGAGTCTTAAACGGTTCTCGTTGAAGTTGTGATATTTGTTGAAAATCAACAATGCAATATTAAATTTAGTTTAGTTAATTTCAGAACCAAAAACCAACTGAAAGCAAAGTTAAGTTCAAGTAGAATTTCAAATAAAGGCATAAAAATAGGAAGACTAAGAGGCTAACCAGAAGAGCACAGAGTTAAACATTATTGTATTGTGCGTTCATGCTATAAGCTGAGAGAAGTTATTTCTTTTGGTTGTCTAGTATGCAAGATGAGATTCAGAAAAGGAAGAAAAAAAGAAGAATTTGTGAAGTAAAGGAAGATTTGATAACTGAAATTCATTCAAAATACATAAATTACAGCCTTACATCCAGAAGTCTCTTGCAGGCCTTCTGATTTGGGTACATAGTCAATATGTACATAATTTTAATGTTTGTGTATCTCTTCAACATCACAGTTATAAAAGGCTTCAAGACAGTGAATGAAAATATAATATAATAATATGAAAATAAGAAGTGAAAGCAGGAGCCTCTAAATTTAGACTGTTAAGTAAGGAAAGACATCCCCTTTTGATAACCTCAAATATGGACAAAAGCCACCGAAACACTCAATAAATCCTTTTCTTTAGGTGAATTCTGTACTCAATGGTAATTTAGCTAGTAATTTAATCACACTTGATACAAAGAATTGAAAAGAGTTGGTGGTACTCTTTCTTCTTTCTAGATGATGACATACATGTGGTATGTGGCCAAGCTGGCGCAGCACCACCCTGGGGTCCACTTTCCCGGCCGCTGGTGGGACCCTGTCCACCCTGAGGAGAAAGACACCTTCAATCTGGAGCAGTTTCTGTCCCACAACACACAGTAAGTCACTGAGACACAGGGAGAGAAGAAGAAAAGGATGGTCTGAACAGATAAATAGAAGTCTGTAACATGGAGAAAGAGAGAGAGAGAGTGAATTGGGAGGGAAACAATAGGCCAAATGAACAAGTGGGCGATCTAATGAGGCAGAGATCAGTGGGATGGTCCACACAGCGGTGAGTGCAGGGAGGAGATAAGCCCATAGAACTGTTGAGACCATAAAAGGAGTTTGATGAACTACGGAAGTCGACTAATCTACTTGATTTGGTTAAACAGTCTCCCTGCTCTCATCACTCACTCCTCCAGGAGGATTTGAGACCCAGAAACTGGCTGGAGACCTGTTAATACCAAGCCCACCAGGGGGCAGTATTTGCCAGGCCAACATGTCTGTCTCTTGGTGGGGCAACACTGACCTGTGGGATTAACCCTCAGGGCCAGAGCCTTTGGGGAGCAGCACGAGGCTGGAGGCAAGCTAGCAGGTGTTTTGTGAGGAAATGTTTTGTCTACATAGTGGTCCTGTGCGCCTCATCATCTGCAGTTACCTGGGAGGAGAAAAAGGGGTTGTTTTACATGGATATTAATTGTGGATATTGAGCAAGCTTCTTTTTCTGCAGTAGGAATGTGTTCGCCTGCATTGGGCTTCCTGACGGAGACCCAAGTTGGGAACGCAGTTTCTCTCGTTGGCCCCTGGGCGTGTGTGACTATTTGGTGCCAGCTCAGACGCAGTTTCACCCTAAGGAATGGGCCCTTCGAACTCGCAGCATCTACAACTGGAGTGAGCCACACAACAGGTGCATACGCAAACATACAAACTCATGTGTATGTGTTTAACATACAGTGTTCCCCATTTTCCTCCTCTCATGTAGCTTTAAGGTTGAAAAATAAATTGCCTTATTATACACTGTTTGATAATGTAGGTACTCTGTATCAGCTTGTTCACTGAGGCTATATGATGTTTACACTGAATGATATATTGTTACGGCAGCATCATTCTATCAAATGTATACACATTTCTCCACAGTTCAGTCTGGCATATTTCTTATCTTTGGAAACGTTGGGAGCTTGACTAGAATTTAAAATGAAAGAAAAAAAAAAGTTCTGTGGGTTTGAGCAATGTTTAGCTCCATAGTGTGATTTTATAAAGACTGGGCCAGTGCCAAGTCATTGAGGTTTAAGGTGCTTAATTGTCACAATGTAATTTCAGGGAGGCCTGCTATAAGAAATCTTTTGCGTATTGTTTAAAACAACTCATTATCTGTAGATGAAACTAGAAATATTAAATCAGAAAGTTAATAAACCCCAACTAATGAATCCTCACCATATATTTCATCGGCAACATCTCCTCGCCCCCTCGTCTCTCTGTGGTCTTCAGTCATTCTTCCACAGAGCTTCCCTCGGTGAGGTTGTCCTCTGTTCTTCATGCTGTGATCCAGCTCTTTGTGAATTCAACCAGAGCAAGACATTAGGCCCTCAGCCACTTGAAATGAGTCTGAAGATGAAAAATAATGAGTTTCTTATTGCATTTTGTCAATAACTGTGTCAAAAGTGGAATTAGTCAAAGCTCCGTATTCTGTTGCCGTTGCCAGCAGCCCTTCATTCAGTCAGATATCCACGGCTGAATACTGTGACATTATTTCCCGCACCCTCACGACAAGCGTGTCCGCTGATGCCCGCAAGCCAAATATTAACTCGGGAACCCTGCTAAAATATTCTTTTGAAGAAGAGGTCAAGTGTTTACAGTCAACAAAGTGAAAAGAGGGAGATGTGGGTTTACTCCATGTCTAATGTGCAAGCTGGTATTGTTGCTCAGTCATTTAATGTTTATGCAGCAAACATTGATGTTTAGTGTATCAAAACCTGCACAGTTGAGTGGAACAATATATTCACATAAATAATAATTTATAGTTAGTGGAACTGTGCACAAGTCAACGCCTGAAGCTGTTTAGATAAAGAAATGCTTTTTTATTTTTATTTTTTTCATGTGTGAACAGTTTCCATCCTGCATCCTGGGAGCATGTCGCTAATGAGGAGATGTGGCAAGCCAGGTACAGTAAACTCTTTACAAAAGACGCTGGTTTCCTCTTTGGAGAGGTTGTATACTTTAGTGTGCAGATAAAAAGCTGCGTCACGATTCATACTAGCCCGCCAGAACATCTCCATAAACCAGTCTTGTGTAGTAGAGCATCTACATGTACATTCTATTTGGTATTGGCATCTACATAAATCACTCCATTGGAGTGGTGCGTCTGTGAGTGTGGATCTGCATGGCTCATCCATCCAGCACTTAGCCCTGAGCCTGCATGCTTTGTTTCAGGATGAAGACGGCTTTCTTTCTGTTTGACCTGGCAGAAAGGATGCAGGGAGAGGGGAAAGCTCGCCTCTTTGAGCTGTCTTACACTGTGAGTCTGACCTCAACAAACAAGCAGCAATACTGTTACCATAGTGGGGCAGTTTTAAGTGCCACACAAGGAAAAGTATGACACATTCAGGGGCGTTATTTGCAGTAACATCTGCTGTGTGTGTGTGTGTGTGTGTGTGTGTGTGTGTGTGTGTGTGTGTGTGTGTTTGCTGCAGCTGTATAAGGAGATTGTGGAGGCCTACTCAGACTACCCGCCAAACTGGGACAAGAACTTGGCACTGGCCTGCGAGAGGCTGCTCCGCTCAGGTCACCGGGGCTACAGTCCACACAGCCTGCTGACCTGCGGCATCCAGCATTTCAGTCTGTACTTAGAGAAGGAACCCACAGATCCCCAGGAGCCCGCCATACGCTCAGCCATCACTCACCTGCTCAAAGAGAGAGATGGGCTCCGGCAGAGCCGGAGGCAAACACCATAAGAAGATCTAGACAGACCTACATGGAGCTGGGGCACAGAGTGTGCTGCGAGCCCAGTTGTAGTACAAGGCACCGAGGATGAGGTCTGACTGAGAAAGATAGAATGATGTATTGGTATTTAGTTAAGGTTTTGGCTAAATTGACTTGGGAGTTAAGAGGAATGCTGATGCAGAAGTACCATTGTGTAGTTATCAAACAGAACTCAACAAAGGACAGAGACCTGCTACTCAGCCATGCTTCATTTGATGAACGTTTACAGTTGACCAGAGACAGAGCTTGACTTCAGGAAGCCTTGACTGACCCCAATCAAGCTGCGCGTGCTCCCCTGAAACTCAGCCATTCGATTGCTTTATCGTTACATCTTGTTCTCTCTTTTTTCTCTCCTCTTCGGCTCTCACAGTTTTTAACATGCTGATTATTTTTCCTCAGCCACTGCTCTACTTCTCTTTTTCTCACATTAGAACGGCAAGGTCGAGATTGAGGGAAAACCAATTTGGGGGCAGAAATGGGGGATTAGAGCAGCTGTTTAATCTAGGACAGACTTGTGCAGTGCCACACAGTAGTCACTCCACATAACCAGCACCACCCACCCCTCTATGCACCCGTCTATCCTTCCATCAGTCTATCTTAGATGGTCCTTTAAATGTTTAAAACTAATGGATTCAATGAGTGTTTTTTTCCCCTCCCTAATGGGAGGGCTGTAATCCCTCATGGATTTAAATGAAATGTGAAATGTCACAATGCCAGGGACCCTTTTAGACGTGCATTTCTGTGTGCATGTGTGTTGATTTGTGTTTGCATGTTGACATGCGTGTGGCTGAACATGCTTAAATCTTCGCCCAAGCCTTTTCCCTACCGGAAACCTCATATAAACATAGTCCATAAACAGATTGGCACACTGGAAAGAGAGAGAAGCACAAAGTCATACAAACTTCAGGGACATACGTAGACGCACAAGACCACCAGCTTCCCAGCTCCCAGTAAAATGAACTTTTAGCCCTGTGAGGGTTGCTGGAGGGACTATGTGCCATGCAAACACTGCGCGTAGACCAGAGTATCTTGTCTTTTGATGTGTTCTCAGGGTCCAAAACCGCAGTTACACACTGTTTTTGTAAATGCTGGAGTTGATGTTAATGAACTTTGTGCCATGAAATTTGTCACGCAGGGGTCAAACCAGTGTATTGCCATAAGCTTTATAAAACACTGCTGAAGGAGCCTGCTGTTTGAGATACCACTAGAAAGCGGCGGACAGTGAGTGCATGTGTAGTTTTCTCAGAATGTAATCTGCCCTCTCTGTTCCCAGGCCTGGTTAGCGGCTGTCAGCTGGCTGGATGATGAGATTCGACCTGCTGTAGCACAGATGGTTTAGTTTCTCATAAAAAAAGGGAAAACTGTCACTCTGCTTTCTACAGATTAAACTATTTCAACAAAGATTCTGTTTATTTTATTAGATTTTGGAACCTTTTTTCCACAGTAGACTAATATTTACCATTTTTAACTTTTTAACCATACTTACATATTAATGTTTGTTTTTGTTTACATCACAATCATTTGCCGCCTCGTCTCATGCCCTCTTGTTATTTTTACTTTACTTTCTTCCTGTCCTTGCCTTTGTCATCCCTCTCCTGTCTCCCGCCCTCTCCTCCCCTCTCACCCTGTCTTCCCCTAACCCCTCTGTTCCTCTCCTCTCCCCTGTCTCTGAGAGTCAGTTGCCCACCCTAAATCAGCAAGCTGCCGAGGATTGTGGGAACCCATGGAATCGCCGTGACCAGGGATGCAGGCAGGGAGCCACAGCAACGCTGGAATGTGGGGCGTCTGAGGAGATAAGAGCTGTGAGCCCAGCCAGGGAGAGGGGAGGGATGCAGCGAGAGAGGAGCGAGGAGGGGGGAGGAGGACGAGGCAGAGCGAGGAGGGTGAGACGGAAACAGGGAGAGCAGCAAGTCTGTGAATGGGGAGACAGAAACACAACACCATAAACAGCCCAGAGAGCAAGACAGAGTGAGACAGTGAAAGAGGGGCGGAGGACTTAGGGGGGCACACACTGGAGATGGGAAGCCAGCCTTATTCCTCTTTGCATTTCATTTACATCCCTGGCCGTATCGACCAATCGGATTGGGAGCAAAGCCCAGGGCTTAGGAGGGGAATAAAAAGACAAAATGCCTTTGCTGCTCTCATCCCTCCCTGATAATACCCCTTCTGTTTTTCTTTTCTCTTTTTCTCCCGTCTATAAGTAGATACTGTCCGAAATGCCAGCGGAAAAGCGACACCTCCGCTTGCTGTGTATCTCAGATAGACCAAGCGGGAACAGGGGCTGAAAAGACAGCTTTAGCAACTGGGCCTATCTCCTCTCCTCTCCACTCCTCTCCTCTCCTCTCTCTGGCTGGATGGAAGCTTGGAGTGGAGGGAGGCGGAGGGCCGGGGTGTGTTGGTTCGTGTTTGGGAAGAGAATAGAGGGTGTGAGAGCCATGATATACTGAGCTGGCCGTAGATTTTGCAGAATCTCACACTCTGAAAAACTTTGCCTGCAGATCCCCTTTCTAAGCATGAGAAACCTGTTTCAAGGATGTTTCCGTGGTGCCACCCATCTTTGTGAAGGTTGCCAATGCCTGCTACTGAACTCCACACATATTTTTAGCTTGGGATTGTTGCTATTCTAGTGTTCTAAATTGCAGGTTTATCCGAAATGGCAACTCTTGTCAGTTGGTTGACTTTATTGTCTTATATAACTGTAGATTTTAAACCTTAGCTTTAAAAATATCTTAACATATTTAAAGATATCGTTAATTAGGCTAAATTAAATATTTTCCTAGAAAATCATATATGTGTATTCGGTAAGATTAGGCCCATTAACGTCAGTCTGTGTTGACATGATGTCATGATTGACCCTCTCAGGGTTTTTTGTTTGCTGCCACTCTTTGTGTGTGTTTTTCTCAGTGTTTGGTAGACAATGCTGTCAGGTACAGTATGTTTGCAGGTTTACTGAGTTTATTTGTCCAGGTGTTTGTAGTGCTCTCCATTGTGTTCCTGTCTATGTTTGGGTTGCTTTGCGTCTGTTGTGTCAAAATGGAAAGTGTTTTTGCTGTTTCTAAGTGTCTTTTCTAAATTTAAAGGTCTATGCCATTGTCTTGGTGCTCATGTCTTTGTGTAGGTGCACCCAGACTATTGTACTGCCAGTGGACCCAGTGCTGGCATCACCGATGATATAGAGCTTATTGAAAGTGATTGTTGTTGCACGGATGAGAGTTCATCTCAGTAGGGGTCTGCGGCAAAGCATTCAGACATAGAGAAGGTCCTTTACCTGCTTCCGCCATACGCATGTGAGAGATAAGGTTACCTTAGGACCCTGTCTGGACCCCCTCCACCTTCACAGCATCCTCATCCTCCTCAGTCCGCACAACCTCACCCCTCTAGTAAAACAAACCAAACAATAGAGGCAGATATGTGAGGGATTAGAGGTCAGAGGGTTGGGGAACGCGACATCTCCATTTCCAGGATCAATCTTCCACCGCTTGGTAATCTCTGGCCCCAGGCCTCACATACCTCCAGTGGTCTCTCTGGCTGAGAGCTGGCATTGCCAGGTCGTGTGAGCTGGTACTCCTGCTGGGTGTGGGGTGCTGATAGGATAGTGGGGGGTGGCGTTATAACCTGACAGAGTGGATGGATGGAAGAGCAGAGGGATGAGTAACAAAGGGTCCTCGCTTTATATCCACAACCCTCCTAAATCCTCGATGTGTAAATGCGCGCGTGTTTGCCCATGTATGACACACGCACAATAATTATTTGTTATATGTTAATGCGTGTCTGTTTACTTTGCGTGCACACGTTCATAAAGTTTGTTTTAATCTGTACATTTGTAAATGTGAAATAACTTTGAGTTCTTCAGAGCGAACTGAATATTATCCCCAAGTTCCCGTTGTTATCTTGTGTACACACATTTGTTTATTTGATACAGCCCCTCTCCACTACTGCACTTCTGTATATCAAAGACAGCAGTGCAGAGCGCAATAGAAAATGGCTACCGTGGAGAAAGGTCTCTCTCTGCTTTGACTGCGAAGAGGCAGAAAAAGCCCCATTCTCCGCTCCCTTCTTAGATCTATTTAAATAATTGAGGAGTAAACTGACAAATTAGGCACCTTTATAGATGCCCCTGGGCTCTCTCTTGGGTCCTTCAGTTTCCCCAATACAAGAGAGTGCCACGAGCCACAGGATAATATCTCTCTGTGCTTTGAGAGGGGGTGGGGGGGGTAGTGGACCAGGAGGGGTTTCGCCAATCAAGCGGGCCACACTTCCTCCCCCAGGTTCTAATTTTGTGCCACATTAAAGAGCTCGGCCTCCATTTAGGACACAGAGAGGCATTTTCATAATTTGCCGGGTCTCTCGGCTAGCTCGGGGTGCCTTTTTTCTTCTCTTTCCTCCCTCTCGCTCTCACTCCGTGTCTGAATGGAAGGCCTGGGGAGGAAGAGTGGTAGGCTAATTCATTCGCCTCCTTTCAACCAACCGGCTTCAGTTCTGCATAATGTTGCTGCTAGGTGTGTATAGCAGCTAATATTTATCTTTATAATAATTCTCTATTAAACCTGAATATTATTTGCCGTATAAAAGCTAACACTGTACAAAAATTGTCATTCACGTATTATTGATACATTAAGGCTAATTCACATACCTGTATTTAGCATTCTGAGAAGAGTTAAAGACCACAGTGGATTTAATCTGAGACCATGCAGCCATACAACTGTGATGCTGGCATTGATCAAATCTGGGATGTAGTAAACATACAGTACATAATCTAGGTTAAAGTTGTTTAATTTCCTCTTGCTGACACCATCCATTCATGCACTGCAGCATGCGTAAGCATTGATTCATATGTGATTGGTCACATAATACACTGTCTCAGGGGGCATTTCATCGCTGACAGACAAGCTAATCTAAAATCCCCCAATTTACAAATGAAAATCCCACCATCCAATTGAGCTAATAGAGGGACTTGAATGGGATAATAAGATGTGGTGTAATACTGTGTAAAAAGCCTGTAATGTTGTGTTGGTGTAAGAGCCTGTGTGACTGGATGTTTGACTGTTTGCAGTGATTACAGGGGCCTGCGGGCCTGGCGGCGGCTCCGTGACTGGGACAGGGAGCTTCTCCCTGGGCAAGGAGATACGCCTGTCTGCCCCTTCTGCTGGAGCTACAGGGACCAGGATGTCAGGAGGGAGAGTGCTCCCAGTGAGCTCTCTTTCTCCCTCTCTCTCTCTCTCACTGTCTCTTTCTGTCTGTCTCTGCCTCTCGTTCCCGGTCTCGCTGTGTCTGTACTATTGCAGTGCTTGCAGATGTGCACAAACAAGGGAGGATTAAAGCAAAACGAATCTAAACAGACAAATGGAATTAGAGTGATGGGTGTCGGTGGGCTGGTTCACAGTGATAAACATAATGACGCTCTGTATGTATGTGTGTGTGAGTGTGTTCCTGTGTCTAGGGGATTATCAGTGGTTAGGTGTGTGGTGTGTATGGCTGGGTGACTGCTTCTGGGTGTCTTTGTGTGTTTGCCTATCTGTCTGTGTTTTTGTAATTATGTGTGTGTATATTTACTCGGTCTCTACTTGTGTGTGTGATAAATGTGTTATTCTACATCGCCTCGCAAAAACAATTCTGCGCCCTCTGCATGTGTGTGGATATGTTTCACTGTGTTTTCCCGTTGGTCAGGGTCATATTTTCTTCTTGTCTTTCATACTGTCTGTTTGTATTTCCGTATCAGAATCACTACCTAAGCCTGTATGTCTCTACTGGACATCAAAACTCTTCACCCAATATTGACATATGCCTAGAAAGATGAGAGAGGGTTTGTTAAATATGAAGGTCTCATAAACTAATCTTGCATAGTGCCAGGCAGTTCATGTGCTGATGTTGTGTGTAGACTTGTTTTCTTGTGGCAGGGGTCTGTGTGTTTATGCGCTGAGGGAGGTCAGGAGTGTGGAGGAGCCAGCAGGGGGGCAGTGATCAACAGCCCATGGGCTCCCCTGCCGAGGGGCTCTGGGATTAGGGTTAAACCCTGCCCTGCCAGATGGGCACAACACATCCCCAGCATCTCACACCAGCATCAGCACCTTTAGGACCGCTCTAGCCCTTCCCCCTTCTTCTGTGGAAACTAGGTGACTGGAACCACGGTGATACTCACTGTTACTCTTCTCAACGGACTCACAGGTCAATAAATGTGCACTGAAATGATCACAATAAATTCTACATGAAGTATACCCAGTATAACGCAATTGAAAGGAACCCTTAATCTCAATATAATAATAATAATCTCAATATTAATATGTATTGGTTAACTAAAGACATGTTTGTTCATAGTAGCCATGTTGGTGAATGTATCATCAATCATCTCTTCTTAGGAACGCACAGAATGGCGACAGGAGAGACGACTGAGATGAGGTACTCTTCAAAGTGTCAGCTAGTGGACAGTATGGCCAGTCAGCAGGTTCAAGGGTATCGGAAATGAAACTTACAGGTTGTTTTGATGTGCTGTATTTCAGAGCCAAAGGCAACACTGAAATGAAGTGTGTGTCTGCGTATGTGCAGTTATGTGGGTGTGTGCGGATAGATTGGTGGCTCAGGAATCAGCAGTGTGTTGATTGCTCCCTGCTTGACTTTTATCGCACACAATTGGCACGAAATTGTCTCCAGTTGTTCAGGAATCACTAGATTTGTCTATTTTTTTCTTAGTTTATTTATGCGTTCTTTTATGATCTCTTAAAGACCTTCATCTTGTTCAATCACCCTTCATTTGCTATTACAGGGATATAAACTGAGATTTTATAATTGCTAAAAGGTCACTTTGGTAACATGTTGCTGTAGATGGTTTCAGGTTAGCTAATGTTGTAATAACCAAAAGCCCTGAAAGCATCCTATAGAGGGTGTGCTGCTTCTTGTTCATACAAAAATCATTAAACTAAACTATCAACATTTCCATGCTTAGAGTTCCACGCTCTAGCTAGCAGGCCTATTTTACAAAAATATGTACATGTTAAAGTAGTATGCAGTGTAAACCTGCGCTAAGTCTCTGTGATACTGCCCCACCTGGATCTGTTGTCCACGCATTTCCCGGCATGACTTAGAAAATCGTCTCTGTATTAGTAGAAAGCAGATTACATGAGTAAAGTGTACAAACAAATAAAAGATTACAGGCTGTGAACATGTTTCAGTCTAATGCCCTTTCAACAAGCAGTGCTCAGCACAATGCTTTTCTCTCCCCAAGCTAAATTTGGATTTCCCCTCTGATGTGAAGGCCTGCTGGCCGGCCATGTCTTCCACCAAGAGCACAACCTCTGTAATGACAGTGTTCCACATGACTGGCCTCTCTTCTCCGCTGGTATTAGTTAGGCTTTGGAGTTCAAGTGACTACGGGGTTTAAACACGGATTTTTTTTTTTTAAGAAGGGGGGGGGGGACTCACTGTTGTTCTTGAAAAGCTGTGTTTATCCAGGATTAGAGACACCAACATGTTAATAATTGTTTCTCACAGAACTGCAAAGAAGCACTTTCCTGTAATCCCCTAATCAGGCATTACACCTCTGAGCGAAGCCACAACGCAGGCGCGTGGTGTATGTGACGCAGCACGCCCACACTGTGTAATGCAGCCACGTCTTCCTCAACACCAAACCCACTATATACAACAGCACCTGTTCTATTCATTGCCTTTTCTAAATCTACTTTCCCGTACCCACTACATCCATTCACAACCAAAGAGCAATAATAATAATATTTTTTTCTATAGTGCTGTTTTTTGATGATGTGAAATCCTTGCAAGCATATTGTCATTAGCTTTCAATCTAGTGCATTTTAGTGTTATCACATAACAACATGTTGATGTGTACAAAGGTAGATACAGGCGAGGTTTGTTAAACTTTTCTGTACCCCAGAAGTAGTAGAAGTAATAGTGTACAAATCGAGTTTTCCTTTCCTCTTCATGGTCACTTGGTTTGTTTTGGATGATGATTTGATGGCCTGTTTATGGTCTCTTTCAGAATAATAGCCTATAAAAAAATAAAGATGTTATTCGCAGACCAATTTGACAGTTTCTGCGCCCTGCATTCGGTGGGGATGTGGAATGTATCAAATCTTTTGATGCTGCCAAGGTCACATAGTTTGCTAGCTGTTTGGTCAGCATGTCAGCTGTCCTCTGTAGTACAGTGGCACAGGGTCAGACGTAAGTGCTGTAAATGCTGAGATGATTACAGGTCCAGGGGCTAGTCCTGGGAATGGGAGGGCACAGTCACACAGGTTGTCAGCAGTAGTTCGTTAGCTTTAATAAGTCTAAACATTTAAGAAATGTGGCAGAAGCATTGTTTTACTTTACATTTATTCCAAAACGTTTCACATCATCTGCATGGATGACATAGGATGAAGATGAATTATGATCATGATGGAGCATGAAATTTTTGCTTGGTATTCATATGTGCACATGTTTATTTGGCGATGCTACTGCGTCCTGCATCATACAGATGCTTGTTTGTCAACATATTTGCTTGTTTAAACCATCCACACCCCAGTGTTTCAGACATTTCATTTCAACATTCAACCTTTTTTTTTTTTTGCTTTTTGCTTTTGAATTTTTTTCATGCCCATTGTTAGTGTTGAGTGTTTGTTTGATGTTCCCCCAGTCTCTGCCCCCGTCTCCTTGCAGGGCCTGGTGGGAGAGTGCGATGAGGGGATCGGCAGGGATTAACCTGGGGAATTTAATTAATAGAGCTGTCGTCCCTGCCCTTAACATTTCAATCTCCTGACGGTGCCGGAGCTGGACCTGTGATGGCCAGCAGCTGGGGAGGGGAGGGAGGCAAAGGGGGATGTAGGGTGCA